TCAGCGGTTAGAGCGTCGGCCTGCGGTCCAGAGAGACCCGAGTTCAGTTCCCGCTAAGGGCACGTACCTCTATTGCAGTTTGTCCCCGGCCCTGGTCGGTCGTGTGGGTGGTAGCCACTCGATGTGTTCCTTTCGCATCGATGTTTCTCTCTCTCTCTCTGTTCCTCTCTCTCCCTCCCACTCTACCTGAACAAAAAATGGAAAAATGTCCTCGGGTGAGGATAAAATAATATATATATAATATATACAGTGTGGCTCACTGATTGAGCGTTGACCTGTGCACCAAGAGGTCGCCGGTTCGATTCCCGGTCAGGACACATGCCCAGGTTGTGGACCAAATCCCAGGGGGGGCATGCAGGAGGCGGCCAATCGATGTTCTCTCTCATTGATGTTTCTATCTCTCCCTCTCCCTTCCTCTCTCTCTAAAATCAATGAAGAAAAAAATTTGTTTTTTAATGTACTTACTTCCCCAAACCTCAGTCTTGGGGTGGGTTATCCTCCAGTCATGAGAAAAACAGATCTCAGCTGAAGGACATTCTACAAAATTCCTGAGCCATCCAGGGCATCAAAACAAGGAAAGTCGGAGGAAACGTCACAGCCTAGAGGGGCGTAAGGAGACAACTAAATGTCAGATGGGGTCCTGGGCCAGGAAAGAGACACTCAGGGAAAGTGAGAAAATCTGAATAAAGTATTAATATTGGTTCATTAATTGTGACATATGTACTTGGCTCATGCAAGATGTGCACATGGGGGAAGGGACATGAGTGCATTGGAACTCTGTGCTCTTTGCCACTTTTCTGTAAGTCTAAAATGGTTTTAAAAATTAAATTAGGTCCTGGCCAGTTTGGCTCAGCAGTAGAGCATCAGCCTGCGGACCAATGAGTCACAGGTTCGATTCCAGCCAAGGGCACGTACCTTGGTTGTGATTTGTCCCCAACCCTGTTTGGGGTCTTGCGAGAGGCAACCAGTTGATATATCCCTCTCAAGTTGTTGTTTCTCTCTCTCTCTCTCTCTCTCTCTCTCTCTCTCTCTCTCTCTCTCTCTCCCTTTCTTTCCCTCTCTCTCCCTTCCACTCTGTCTGAAGATAAATGGGAAAATATCCTCAGGTGAGCATTAAACAACAAAAAAATTAAGTTGGTTATGCCCTGACTGGTGTGGCTTAGTTGGTTGGAGTGTTTTCCCATACACCGAAAGGTCATGGATTTACTTCCCAGTTAGGGCACATACACAGGTTGTGGGTTTGATCACCCAGTCAGTGTTTGTATAGGAGGCAAAGTTTCTCTCTCACATCAATGTCTCTCTCTCTCTCTCTTTCTCTCTCTCTCTCCATCTCCCTTTCTCTTTCTCTAAAACCAATAAACACATCTTTGGGTGAGGATTAAAAAATAAATAAATAGTCCAGCCGATTGGCTTAGTGGTTGAGCGTCGACCCATGCACCAAGAGGTCGCCGGTTTGATTCCCGGTCAGGACACATGCCCAGGTTGTGGGCTTGATCCCTGGTGGGGGGTCATGAGGAGGCAGCCAATCTCATCGATATTTCTCTGTCTCTCTGTCTCTCTCTCTCTCTCTCCTCTCACTTCCTCTTTCTGTAAAATCAATAAAGGGAAAAAATTTTTTAAAAATATATTAAAAATAAATAAATAAATAAAGTCTGCTACAAAAAAGATAAGGATCGCCCTGGCCAGTTTTGCTCAGTGGTTAGAGCATTGGCCCTCAGACTGAAGGGTCTCAGGTTTGATTCCCATCAAGGGCACATATTGGGGTTGCAGGTTTGATCCCCAGCACCGGTCGGGGTCATTTGGGAGGCAAGCAATTGATGTGTCTCTCTCAACAATGTTTCTCTCTTTCTCCCCCTCCCTCCCCTCTACCCTATCTAAAAAAATTAATGGAAAAATATTCTCAGGTGAAGATTAACACACCTCCCCCAAAAAAGAAAAATAAAGAAGATAAGGGTCATTCAGCAATTTTCCAAAAAAAAGGGAGAGAGAATCTGCATCTTCCCTCCTCCTTGCCCTAGTGCTCGACTGTATCTGTCCTTCCTTCTCACTCTTGCTCTGTAATAGATAAAGAAGGAAAGAGTCTGCTGAGGTTTTCTGACACTTTGTAGTAGGCCTGGAACTTAATAAGTGAATGTGCTCAGTGAACATGACCACAGTTCCGTTATCAGAGAAAAAATAAGCACCAGCCTTTGTAGCAAACTTCACAACTGAGCTGGTAGATGCACCACAGTCACCCACAACCGTGAGGTGAGGGACAGGAGGAAAGGAGGTGACAGCTCAGGTTCCTGGTACACACCCTGGTGGTGGGACAGGACTGTTAACTGTGACAGTCAGGCCCAGCTGAGTGGATACAGTGTTTCCGTTTGTATAAAGACCTGTAAAAATGACCCTGGTCAGTTTGCTCAGCGGTTGGAGCGTTGGCCTGTGGACCAGAGAGTCCCGGGTTCGGTTCCCACCAGGGGCACATACCACGTACCCCCCAAAAAACAAAACAAAAACCCTGTGAAAATGTTGCACAGAACACATTGGTTGAAGACATAAGACTGGCAACAGTTGCCTCCGGGGGAAAATGAGCTCCTGGGAACTGTCTTCCTCCAGGGTGACCTTTCGTCTCTTTTCCTATATGTAGTAATAACTAGGCAAAAACTAAAAATTTTTTTTTAATCCTCACCCGAGGACATTTTTGCATTTATCTTCAGATAGAGTGGAAGAGAGAAGGGGAGGAAAAGAGAGAGAGAAACATCAGTGTGAGAGAGACACATCGAGTGGTTGCCACCCACACGACCCCAACCAGGGCAGGGGACAAACTGCAACCAAGGTACGTGCCCTTAGCGGGAACCAAACACAGGACTCTCTGGTTCGCAGGCTGATGCTCTAAACGCTGAGCCAAACTGGCCAGGACAAAACTAAATTTTTTTAATTGATTGATTTTCAGAGAGAGAGAAAAATATCAATTTGTTGTTCTACATATTTATGAATTCATTGGTTGATTCTTTTATGTTCCCTGACCAGGTATTGAACCTGTAACCTTGGCACAGCAGGATGACGCTTTAACCAACTGAACTACCTGACCAGGGCTGTGTAAAAATTAAATTTAAGGCAAGACTTAGAGGGGCAGTGGATTCTTCTTGGGTGACTGTTGCATATCTCTGCTGGGGTTTGTATTACAACCATTTGTCAACTTTTATCAAAACAGCAAGTCATCCACTTAGATTTGCTCATTTCATTGTATGAAAGAGACAGAGAGACAGAGGGAGAGAAAGGACTCGAACCCCTGCTGAAGAGTTTGGGGAGCCTGGTCGGCGTGACTCGGTGGTTGAGCGTTGACCCATGCACCAAGAGGTTGCCGGTTCAATTTGTGGTTGGGACACATGACCAGGTTGTGGGCCCAATCCCCAGTGGGGGGCATGCAGGAGGTGGCCAGTCAATATTCTCTTTCATCGATGTTTCTATCTTTCTCTCCCTCTCTCTCTGTAATATCAATAAAGAAAAAAAAAAGAGTGTGGGGAACCATGCTGTGAAGTATGTCAGCAGCGAAGCCAGATGGATAGATGGACAGAGGGACAGTGGATGGTGAAGCACCTAAGTGCTCACTATGCTGTTGGTCCAACTTGGCTGTGTGTTTCAGAATTTTCATAATACAAAGATTCTGCTGGAAAACAGCAGGGCCTCCAACAATTACACAGTCACTGTACGACTGAGCAATCTCATGCCTCGGGGCTCACCCATGAGAAATAAAATGTGCGTGCACACGAATACTCATGCACATGTACACATGGTAGTAAATTCACAACAGCCGAATGGTGGACACAACTCAACTACCCATCAAAGGATAAATGTGACCCATCCACACACTGGAATATTACTCAGCTACAAAAAGGAGTGAAGCACTGACACTCACTACAACACAGGTGAACCTTGATGCTCAGTGAGAGAAGCCAGACCCAAAGGCCACACAATGTGTGATTCCATTCATGTGAAACATCCAGAACAGGGAGACCCACAGGGACAGAAAGTGGATTCATGGGTATCAGGGGCTGCAGAGGAGGCTGGAGGTGATTATTGATGGTAACAGGGCTGCTTTTTAGGTGGTGGGATGTTCTGGAATTAGATAGAAGTGATGATTATATAACCTTGTGAACATACCAAAAATCACTGAATTAAATATATACTTTAAATGGATGAATTGTAGGCATGTGAATTATATCTCAATACTGTAAAGATATTAACAAAAAACATAGCCCGGCCGGTTTGGCTCAGCAGTTAGAGCATCGGCCTGCAGACCAAAGAGTCACAGGTTCAATTCCGGTCCAGGACACATACCTCGGTTGCAGTTAGGTCCTCAGCCCTGGATGGGGTCATGCAGGAGGCAACTAGTCAGTGTGTCTCACATCAATATTTCTTTCTTTAAAAAAAATAAATAAATAAAAAGGAAGCAGATTCTGGGATGCTTTTGTTCAGTGACCTCCACCCCGCTCCCCAGCACCCAGCACACCCCCTGCAACACCCCCTGCCAGCCAAAGTCTGGCTGTGGCTCCCAACACTGGCCAATGCCATCCCCTGCCATCCTCTGGCCCTGCCCTGAAGACCCTCCTGCGAGAAGCCGGCCCTCGCCTGCTGCTGGGCTCCCTCCAGCAGCTTCAAAAGTGCAACCTCTGTTTTATTTACTTATGTATTTATTTTTATTTATTTATTTTATCCTCACCGAGGACATTTTTGCATTTATCTTCAGACAGAGCAGGAGGGAGAGAGAGAGGAAGAGAGAGAGAGAAACGTCGATGGAGTGGCTGCCACCCACACAACCCCAACCGAGGCCAGAGACAAACTGCAACCGAGGCACGTGCCCTTAGTGGGAACCGAACCCAGGACTCTGGTCCGCAGGCTGACACTCCAACTGCTGAGCCAAACTGGCCAGAGGCAACCTGTTTTATAAGTGGGGAAACTGAGGCTTGCCCAAGGTCTCACAGCCAGCATGACAGAAGTGGGGTCAAAATCCAGGCAGGAATCACACAATTTTTTATTACAATTAATTGGTCTCTGAGCTGTGCCAGTTCCCTCTTTGCCCTTCCCTATATCCTGCAGGGGAAGGTCTCACAGCAAAGGAGTCAGGATCACTCCTGGAGCATCAGACCTGTGGCTGATGGTCTTCCTGATCCAGGACACGTAGGGGGCCACGGCAATGGCCACGGGGGGCTTGAAGATGTCAGTGCAGGTTTTAGAGCTGAAGGACAGGATTCCAGCCACCTGGCCTTTGCTGCACACCAGGGGTCCGCCTGAGTCCCCCTGTTGGAGCCCACAGGGCACAGGTTACTTTCTATGCCCGCTGGAGAAAGCCTGATTATTCCTGAGGTAGGAACTCCCCCCACCCAATGACTGTATACCGTGGTTCCACATCTCCCTGCACACACCTCCTTACTCCCCTCCACCTCTTTCCCTCCCTCCCTCCCTCCCTCCCTCCCTCCCTCCCTTCCTTCCTTCCTTCCTTCCTTCCTTCCTTCCTTCCTTCCTTCCTTCCTTCCTTCCTTCCTTCCTGTTCTTTTAACATTCTTTCTTCTTCTTCCCACTCCAGGACTTTTGCACATGCTGTGATCATCTTTGATGCCAGAGCTCAAAGCCTATCTCTGCTGCTCCTTGACTACGTGACTGTGGGCAAGTTACTTAACTTCTCTGTGCCTTGGTTTCTGTATCTGAGAAATGGACTAATGCTAGTCCAGATTTCCCCAGAGAACGGACAGAGTTGGGGCCCAGAGAGAATTGAGGCTTGCCAAGTAACCCCTGGAGGCAGGCTGATACCCTCCCCTCAGGCCAGGCTGCCCCGGCCTCCCTGCTGCTGCCCCGTCACCTTGCAGGGGGCCTGATTCTTGGACTTGGCCTTCAGGCAGATCATGTAAGGGGTGATGCCACCATTCCAGAAGCGACTGTTGTTGCACATCCTGGCATCCAGCACATGCACGTCCAGCTCCTGCAACGCTTTCGCCGGAGGCCCACTCCACTGGGTCAGCCCCCAGCCCGCCACACTGCACTTTGCTCCCGCTGTCACTGCCTTGTGTGCTCGGGGCAAGGCCAGGGGCCGAACAGTCTTGCTGCGACTCACCTTCCCGTCCAGCTACAGGTGATAGGAAGGGACAGGTGAGTGAGGGACAGTGGGGGAGGGGCAGTGCGAGTCTGGGTGCAGCTGTCACTCCTCCCGCCTGCCCCAGTACCTTAAGCAGCGCGAGGTCGTTCTCCAGCTTGGGGGCCGGCTTGTAGCTGGGGTGCAGGACTGCTGCCCTGACTCGAAAGGTGAGGCCAGGGTCTCCGAGCCTGTGGAGCCCCAGCACCAGCCTCAGCAGCTGTGCCCTACGGGCAGCAGGATTAGGGTATGAGCTGTCATTCTGCAGCTTGGGGACCCCTTCACATACCCCGAGCCCTGACTCCAGGGTCCATCTTGGCTGAATTCAAGGTCAAAGTGTACTCACTGCCCGCCAACTTCCTATCCCACCCCTACCCCGCTCCCTTATCTGGCCTTTCTCTGGATGGTCCTCCCCCTGTTCCTTCTCAACTGTCTTCTCCCCACCTCTTCCAGAAAGCTGTCCTTGCTTCCACCCTGCCCAGATTCCAGTTCATTCCTGGCCAGAGGCAGGGCTATGTGTGTCCAAAAATCGTGATCTTCAGCGTGGGGCTCCCCTAAGTGGGGTCTCCAGACTCAGCCAGTGCACATGTTATGCCTCAACCACAATAATTTGTTCTAGGGCTGGCACATGACCTAGGCTGGGATCATCAGTATTGATACTCATGACTCTGCCCAAAGTATAGAGAAAAAACTCTTTCCTCAGGATCTAAGGGGGCCTAATCTTTTTTTATTTTATTTATTTTTTGGTGCTGTGACTCAGATAGGGTGCCCATTCTTGCCACCATGTGAGAACCTTCCTGATATTGTGGCCAAGGGACAGGACAGAAGAGCTGAGAGACAGACAGGGTCCTGACCAACTCATGCAAGCACCTGGATCAAGCTGTACCTGAAGACTTATGTCCCCCTAGACTTTTCAGTTGCATGAGCCAATAGATCCCCTTTGGTTACTTTGACCAGTCTGCTCTGGGGTCTTTATTACTGGCTAGTCCAGAAGTAGGGCAGTTCCAAGACTGATTTATTTGGTGGCTTCCTAGGTTGGTTCTGCCACTCTCACAGACCAGGTCTATCCCCCTGGCCACAATGGGAGACACATTTCTGGGTGTCACAAGAGGCCCAACTCTGTCCAGTTGGAAGGCGTTTTGTTGTAGCAAGTAAAGCTTCCCTAGGAATCCTGCAGCCTATGTCACTTATGTGTGCCTAAGGTTGATGTCATGTATACACACCACAACAATCACAGGAGAGGGAAAGGGGACACCCTTATGACCCTACAGTTGGCTTAAATTTGTCAGAACCCACTCCCTGGTAAGAATAGGGACCATGGGATAGATTCGGGACACTCATGGTGACAGAGGGGGTTGGCAGGTCAGTCACTTACGGCTGGGCGACGCAGTGGGCAGCTGTCAATACCCACCACGGGTGCACAAGGACTCCCCCACACAGGTGGGTGCCAGCTTTCTGCAGAGATACCATGTATGGACGGGAGTGGGGGGCAGCCTCATGACCACCAATGATGTCGGTCTTAAATGTGTCACCTCCTGGGGAGAGGAACAAATGCCAAGTTAGGGCTGGGTGCCCCACCCCCACCACAAGCTTTCCACCCGAGACCTGGGGAGCCTGGGCCCTAACACAGTTCCCTCTGTTCCCTGAGACATTCAGATTAACAGGCAGGGCCGTCCTTGATCCCTTCCCATCCTTCACTCTCACATCCTGGTCACCAGCAAGTGACCATCCAGCATTCATATCCCATCCCTTGCTTCTGGGCCTCGCTGGGCCTCCCCTGGGCACCACAGCACAGCCCCTATTGGAGCAGCTAGAGAAGCTGTTTAAAGTGGAGAAACTGGACCCTCACCCATTCCCTCCATGGCATGTAAAATGGTGCAGCCACTGTGCAAACCATCTGGCAGTTTCTCAAAGGTTAAAGAGTTACTACCCAACCCAGAAACTCCCCTCCAAGAGAAATGAAAACGTATATCCACACAAATCTTGTTCACACATGTTCATAGCAGTAGGACTCACAATTGTGAAAAAGTGAAAACAGCCCACATGTCCAGCAACCAGTGAATAAACACAATGTGATACATCCACACCACAGAATATTACTCAGCCATGAAAGGAGTGAGGCACTGCCACTGGCTACAACTTGAATGGATCTTGAAAACATGATGCTCAGTGAGAGAAGCCAGACACAAAAGGCCACACAGTGTGTGATTCCACTTATGTGAAATACAAATCCACAGAACAGGCAAATCCACAGAGACAGGAAGTGAGTTGGCTAATGGATGCCAGGGGCTGTGGGAGGAGGTGAGGAGTGGATGCTTTTGGGGATGGGGTTGTTTTTGGGGTGATGAATTGTTCTGGAACTAGATAAAGGTGCCAGTTGCATAACTCTCTGAATGTACTAAAAACACTGAATTACATACTTGAAAAGGGTGAATTGTATGGCATGTGAATTATATCTCAATAAAGATGTTATAAAATTATTTTTAAATCAAATATAAATTTAAAAAGGTTGATAGAGTTTTAAAATGTAAATCGGTTCAAAAATCTTCCTACGATTCCCCATTCATGCTTTATTATTATTATTTGTTAATCCTTACCCAAGGATACTTTTTCCATTGATTTTTAAAAAATATTTTATTATTATTTATTATTATTATCATTATTATTTTTTTATCCTCACCTGAGGACATTTTTTCATTTTTTGTTCAGATAGAGTGGGAGGGAGAGAGAGGAAGAGAGAGAGAGAAACATCGACGTGAAAGGGACATATCTAGTGGCTGCCACCTGCACAACCCAACCAGGGCCGGGGACAAACTGCAACCAAGGTACATGCCCTTGGTGGGAACTGAACCTGGGTCTCTCTGGACCACAGGCCGACACTCTAACCACTGAGCCAAATCGGTCAGGGCTTTCTGTTGATCTTTAGAGAGTGGAAGGGAGGGAGGGAGGGAGGGGAGAGAGAGAGAGAAAGAGAGAGAGAGAGAGAGAGACATCGATGTGAGAGAGACACATTGATTGGTTGCCTCCCACATGAGCACTGAATGGGGCTAGGGATTGAATCTGTAACTCAGGTACGTGCTCTTGACCGGAAACTAAACCTATGACCCTTTGGTCCGTGGGCTGATGTTCTAATCCCTGAGCCACACTGGCCAGAGCCCCTTCATGCTTTATTATTATAATTTTTTTCAAGTTTTATTAATTTATTTTTGTTACAGATGTTTCTTTCCCCCCCCCTAGACACCCTCCTCCTCATGCTGCCCCTTCACTATTATTATTATAATGTTTTTAATTTTTTATTCCTCACCTGAGGATATTTTTCTACTTATCATCAGATAGAGTGGGAGAGAGAGAGACAGAGAGAAATATTGAAGTGATAGAGCCACATCGACTGGTTGCCTCCCTCATGACCCCACCAGGGCCAGGGACAAACTGCAACTGAGGTACATGCCCTTGACCAGAATCGAACCCGCGACTCATTGGTCCGCAGGCCGACACTCTAACCGCTGAGCCAAACTGGCCAGGGCCCCTTCATGATTTAAACCCCTAAACTCCCCATGACCCACAAGAACCACATCAGCTAGCCCTGCCTCCTCCTTCTTCTTTTTTTTTTTAATCCTCTCCCGAGGACATTTTTCCATTTTTTGTTCAGCTAGAGCAGGAGGGAGAGAGAGGAAGAGAGAGAGAGAAACATCGATGTGAAGGGACACATCGAGTGGCTGCCACCCACACAACCAACCAGGGCCGGGGACAAACTGCAACCGAGGTACGTGCCCTTAGCGGGAACCGAACCCGGGTCTCTCTGTACCGCAGGCCGATGCTCCAACCGCTGAGCCAAACCAGCCAGGGCACCCTGCCTCCTTCTCATGCCTCCTCACTCCACTCCAGCCACTCTGGCCTCCCAGCTGTTCCTCCAGTGCACTGCCTTCATTCCCACCTCAGGGGCTTTGCACATGCTGTTCTGGCAGCCTTTTCTCCAGACATTCCCAAGTCTGGCTTCCTTACTGGGTAGCTGCTCAAAAGCCTTCTTCTCAGAAACCAATACCCCCAACTTCCTTAATATAACCCTTACTTTGTTCTGTTCTCTTCCTAGCACTCAGCACTTCCTGACATTGCATCACACAGACTTGCTCATTAACTATCTATCCCCTCCAGTCCTGTGCTTGGAGGCGGGCCCTGTGCTTGTCTTGCTCACCACAGGCCTGAACAGTCTGTGCTCAGCAAACACTGATGGATGAATGACAAAATAAAGGAAGGCGGATGAATAATAGATGGATGGCTGATGGCTGATGAATGGCTGAACGATAAATGGATGATAGATAGATGGGTGATAGATGAATGGATGGATGATGAATGATGGATGGAAGGAAAGGAGAGAGAGAAAGGATGATGGATGGATGGATGGAAGGAAGGGAGAGAGAAAGGATGATGGATGGGTAGATGGATGATGGATAGAAGGAAGGAAGGAGAGAAGGGAGAAAGGATGGTAGATGGATGCTTAAATACCTATCCTACTTGGTCCCCGATTCATCACGGAGCCATTCTCATCCAGCCTTGCCGGAATCCTGGGATACCCATCACCCACCACCTCCTATTTTAAGCTCTTAGGCATCCAGTTCTGGCCAAACATATATGGTTTGGGGAGGCAGCCAGCAGGGCTCAAATTCCAGCTTTGTCCTTCCCAGCCAGGTGATCCTGGGGGCGTTGCCTCATTCCCTGGGTCGAGGTTTTCTGCTTTGCAACTCGGGGTTATGTACATATGTATATAAGGACCCTGACTCCCAGGTGCTGGCAGGAGGCAAAAAGCCTGCATCTGCTTCACTTTCTGTGAAGCCAGCTTCAGTGTGAGGTGTGAGGAGCACAGGATATTCTCAGAGTCCCAAAGTCTCCCCTTAAAACAACTGCAAGAACAAATTAATGATTTTACCCTGGAGAAATCTGGTGAATATCAGGTTCACCAAGTGATCAAGGTAATGGCACCATGAAGCAGGCATGAACCCTCTGTGATTCCTGCAGAAAATGAACAACTTGAACCCAACCTTGGGGACACAGCAGGCAGACCCACAGGCATCACAAATATCAGTCACAAGATCCAGGGGGAAATAAAGAAACTACCCACAGTAGAGGATGAGATCACGTGCACGCTGCTAGGTTTGTCCCCACAAAAAAACGCTATGGGAACTTTTATTTTATTTTATTTTTTTTATCCTCATCCGAGGACATTTTTCTATTTTTTGTTCCGGTAGAGTGGGAGGGAGAGAGAGGAACAGAGAGAGAGAGAAACATCGATGTGAAAGGAACACATCGAGTGGCCGCCACCCGCACGACCAACCAGGGCCGGGGCCAAACTGCAACCGAGGTACGTGCCCTTAGCGGGGACTGAACCCGGGTCTCTCCGGACCGCAGGCCGACGCTCTAACCGCTGAGCCAAACCAGCCAGTGCTATGGGAACTTTTAAATAATGTCCGTAGATGAGCTAATAGCACTGTATGAATGTTGAGAATCCTGCTGTGATTGTGTAGAGAATGTCCTTGTTCGAAGAAAACATGCCATGGCATTTAGGAGTGAGGGGCAATGCATCTGAAACTGTTGGTTCAGAAAAATAACATACAAATTCTTTTTTATAAATTGATTTTTTAAAGAGAGATAGAAACATTGATGTGAGAGAGACACATCAATCAGTTGCCTCCTGAACCACGCCGACCAGGGTTGGGGATCGAACATGCAACCCAGGCACGTGCCCTTGACTGAGAGTCAAACCTGCGACCCTTGGTCTGCAGGCTGACGTTCTAACCGTGGAACCAAACCACCCAAGGCCCATTGATGTTTCTATCTCTCTCCTTCTCCCTTCCTATCCCTCTAAAAAAATCAATAAAATAATATTTTTAAAAATATATGAAAAAAAACCTTAAAATGCCTTCCTGATGTGACCTGACCTCTACCTCAGGGCCCCTGCTCAGCCTCACCTCCTTTTTGGAGCAGCCGACATTTCTTCCATCAGTCCCCTTCTGGGGACAGAGGACTTGTTTCCAATTTCTGTTGTGATGCCCACCCATGACCACCTGGGGGGCCAAAGTTTCCGGCCTTTCTCCCCTTGCTTCGCTCTCACTTACCTGCCTGAAGGATCCCCAGGGCCAGCAGCAGCAGCAGCAGAGATAAAGGGGCCTCCATGGCGCTGGGGAACTGAGCCATGTGCCTGGGCTCCCAGCACCTCCCACCTCACCCACCCTTTCTTATAGGGGAGGTAAAGTTCACAGTTTCACTCTCCGCAGCACACACACCACCCCCCACTGGTTTTATTTCACCCAGAAGCATTTCAGAAGTCTTTCCTAAAAGGTACAGGCTCGCTGAAGAGAAAACCACACTACACATCACACCCGAAAAATTAACAAAAATTCCCCCTCATCATCTAATATCCCGTCATGTTCATCCCCCTCTCACACACCTTTGTGTGTGCGTGTGTGGTTTTAACGTGATTGTTTTCTTTGCCCCCTGTTTCTTTTCTTTTCTTTTTTTTTTTTAATCCTCACCCGAGGATATTTTTACATTTATCTTCAGACAGAGTGGAAGGGAGAGAGAGACACATCCATTAGTTGCCACCCGCACGACACCAACTGGTGCGGGGGACGAACCGCAACCGAGGTATGTGCCCTTGGCTGGAATCAAACCCGGGACTCCCTGGTCCTCAGGCCAACGGTCTAACCACTGAGCAAACTGGCCAGGGCTGCCCCATGTTTCTTTTTTTTTTTTTTTTATTCTCACCCGAGGACATTTTCCATTTTTTGTTCAGATAGAGTAGGAGGGAGAGAGAGGAAGAGAGAGAGAGAGAGAAACATCGACGTGAAAGGGACACGTTGAGTGGCTGCCTCCTGCACGACCCAACCAGGGCCAGGGACAAACTGCAATCGAGGTACGTGCCCTTAGCGGGAACTGAACCCAGGTCTCTCTGGACCGCAGGCCGACACTCTAACTGCTGAACCAAACCGGCCAGGGCTGCCCCCTGTTTCTTATCATGCCAAAATACATAAAATTTACCATCTTAACCATTTTTTCAGTGCACAGCTCAGGCATTAAGCACGTTTGCGATGTTGTGCAGCCGTCCCCACCATCCATTTCCAGAACTGTCTCATCTTCCCAAACTGACAGTCTGTCCCCATTAAACACTGACTTCCCTCCCTTCAGCTTCTGGCACCCACCATCTACTTTCTGACTTTGCAGATTTGACTCCTCCTGGGACCACATATGAGTGGAATCACACAGTACTTGTCCTGTGTCTGGCTTATTCCACTAAGCATAATGTCCTCAAGGTTCATCCACGTTGTAGCAGGCGGCAGCATTTCCTTCTTTTTTAAGGCTGAATCATAGTCCACTGTATGGATAGACTACATCTTGTTTATCCATTCATTGCTCTATGGATATCTGGGCTGTTTCCAATCTTTCATTATTCTGGATAAAGATGATTTGAACACTCGTGTGCTATGAGCACTTGGGTGATGACCACAAATCTGAGGGTCCTAGTCAGCCTCAGCTGCAGGGAGTGCTGTAGTAATTAGTGATGTCTGCCCTGGGCTAGGCATGGAGGGTTCAGTTATGTAGGCTCTCTGGGGCTTCAGTCCTCCAACCATCACAGTCCACTCCTCAGCCCTTCCCGCCCATGTGACCCAGACTGGCCAATTAGATCTCTCCATCCCTCACTTTGGTTGGAGGCAGAACATTCTAAGCAGGCTCAGCGAGGACCATGATGTGGGTCTCTTCCACTGGAACTTTTCAGAAACAGTCCTCACTCTCTGCTGAACTTGGAGCTGGAAGGATGTCCGCCTGGAGATGACCCCAAAGTTAGAGGAGTCCACCTGAAAATGAGGCCCACACAGAGAAAGCTGAGCTTGGAGCTGTTAGTTTCCTCTTGCACTGTAACGAATTAATGAATTATTTCACATTCAGTGCCTGAAACCACACCAACTTAATCTCTTAGTTCTGAAGGCTAAAAGTAAGTGGGCCTCACTAGACTAAACCCAGGTGTAGGAAGGGCTGATTCCCCTGGAGGGTCCAGGGGAGAATTGTTTCCTGCCTTTCCCTAGAGCACAGACTCTGAGCTTAGGGAATGGACATCTTTGGGGCTATTCTGCTGACCACAGGTCAGGGAGACAGAGTCTGGACAGAACCAATGCCTGGATCCTGCTATTCCTGAAACCACCAGCCTTGTCAGGCACAGAAACCAAAGAATTTCCTTTTTGCTTGAGTCATTTTGAATTGGGCGTTTTGTCCTTTGCTACTGAGAAGATCATGACAAATAAAGAGAGGTGGCTGAAAAAATTGATCCCCAAAAGCAGATGAACTCATCTATGTGCCGGGGCTCTGGAAGCAAGTCACCATTCATTCTCTCATTTGACAGCATCTGGCTTGAGGCTCTGGAGTTCTGTCTTTACTCAGTAGAGTGTGTGAAGCTAGAGCTGAGTTAATCAACCAAAGGTGGTCCTCAATTCAACACCAGCAGGAGTCCCTAATTTGGGGTGTGGAGAAGGGAGACTTTATTCAGAGGAAAGTTAAATTGTGATATTGCATGGCAATGGGCAGTCTTGGTTGTGAGACAAGTCAATTATGATATAGCACAGTCATGAAACAGCCCAACCAGCCCAGTCTGGGTGAGGTGGCCCAGTTTTACAGCTTTGGTGTCACAGCTCAGTCCCCGTAAGACAGCTTTGTTCAGCCCCACTGTGGGAAATAATCTCCATCAGAAACCGAAAGTGTGCTCCACCAAAACAGCTGCTATATTTAGAGAAGTTCCCATCCTTGGTTTCAGATTGGTCCATTTTTATGCAAATGAGGACTCCAAAGGCACTGTCCTGATTAGTTGGAATGAAGCCACTCTGATTGGTTGGTAAAGATGCAAATGAGGTTATAGCCATACAGCTGTGATTGAAGGGCAGGTCTTCAGCCCATTGGTCAAATTTTGATCCTAAGAGCTCTCTAATAAGGTTCAGCTGAGACACTGGTAGGCGCACAGTGCCAGAGGCTGGCAGTCTAATTTGTGGCTTTTCCTGGATATGCAGCCTCCATGAGGAACCCCTGCAAACAATGGTTGCTAGGCTCCGGTTATGATTTTGGGCCCAATTAACTGCAAGAAGTCCTTCTCGGGTGGTATATTCCTCTTGGAGTCAACAAGTTTAAGAAAAAATATTTATAGTGTGTGTTCACAGGTTCTGTCTTGTTTAATCCTAATAATCCTAGGAAGTAGGTTCCATTAGTGTCAGGATGGTCAAATTTAGCAACTACAAGTAGAGCGTACCTGGTTAAATTTGCATTTCAGATAGGCAATGAATAATTTTGTTTTGTATAAGCATGTCTCAAATATTGCATGTGATACCCTTATAGCAAATATTTTGTTGTTTATCCGAAATTCACATTTAACTGGACAACTCTAATTATTAACCCCATTTTGCAGCTTAGAACACTGAAGCTCTGAATGTTGAAGCCACTTGTCCTTGGCTTGGTCACTAAAGATGATTCAAACTTGGAGGCCTCAGATAGTATGGTCAGATCTGTGTGTGCAGAAGATATTTGGGCAATAGTGTGGAGTACAGTCTGAGGAGGAAAAGAAGAGATTGTGGTGGTTTTATTTATTTTATTTTATTTTTTAAAAATCCTGCTTTGACCAGTTTGGCTCAACAGTTAGAGCATCAGCCTATAGACCAAAGGGTCATGGATTTGATTCCTTGTGAAGGGCACGTACCTGGGTTGCACGTTCAATGCCTGGCCCCTGTGAGGGTCGTGTGGGAGGCAAACAATCAATATGTCTCTCTCACATCAATTTTTCTCTCTCTCCCCCTCCCTCTCTTCCACTCCATCTTGAAAGTAATGGAGAAAGTATCCTTGGGTGAAGATTAACAAAAACAAATCCTCACTTGAGGACATGCTTTTATTGATTTTAGAGAGAGAGAAGCATTGATGTGAGAGAGAAACATCACTCAGTTGCCTCCCGCACATGCCCTGACTTGGGATGGAAGCCGCAACACTTTGGTGTATGGGATGATGTTCCAACCGAGCCACACCAGCCATGGCAGATTGTGGTAGTTTTAGAACATGGCCACTGATTCTAGGACATGCTCCCATCAAGAGGTGGAGTCTGGGTCCACTCTCCTTGAATCTGAGTGGGCTCATGACTATTTTGACCAATCTTATACAGAAGGGGCATGGTGTGACCTCCAAGGCTGCTCTGAAATGACCTTGCTCCTGGAACCCTCATCTTGGAGCCTGTGCTGCCATGCCGAGAGGAAGCCCTGGTGATGAATGTGGGGCCACGTGTGGGCACTCAGTCCCGCTGAGTCTGCCCTCAAAGTTGCCCCAGCCCAGACGCCCAACATGAGTTAAGGTACCTCCAGATGAACCCAGGCACCATGGTTCAAGTCACCTAGATACGGTGAAGAGGGTACAAGCCACCTGATTCTTGACCCACAGAAGCTGAGTATAAAGTGACAATGGCTCTATGTCACTAAGTTCAGATGGTTTGTTCTGTAGCAGAGTATGGGGACAAGGAAGAAGAGGTCCAAGGGACACTAGAGAGGCTGAACCAACAAGCCTGAAGAGGGTGGCAGTGGATGCTAGCATAACTCTAGGACAGAGGTTGGAGAATTTTCTTCTTTCATTTTTTTTTTTTTTTTGCATTTATCTTCAGATAGAGTGGGAGGGAGAGAGGAAGAGAGAGAGAAACATCAATGTGAGAGAGACACATCGAGTGGCTGCCACCCGCAAGAGAGGCACGTGCCCCTAGTGGGTGGGAACCGAACCCCAGACTCTCTAGTCCGCGGGCTAACGCTCCAACCGCCAAGCCAAACTGGCCAGGGCTCTTTCTTTTCTACTTTTTTTTTAATCCTCACCCAAGGATATTTTTCCCATTGATGTTTTTGCACAAGGGATGGAGGGAGGGGGAGAGAGAGAGAGAAAGAAAACATCAATGTGAGAGAGAGACTTCACATCAATTGGTTGCTTCCCACAGGTGCTGAGATCAGGGCCTAGGATAGAACCTGCAACCCAAGTATGTGCCCTTGACTGAAAACTGAACCCACGACCTTTTGGTTCAAGGGTTGACGCTCTAACCACTGAGCAACTTCAGCCAGGGCAGCAAAGTTTTCTGTAAATGGCTAGATGTACATAGTTTTTACTTTTGGGCCATTACTCAGTATTGAAGCTGCAGCTCATAAACAACCAGACGCAGGTAAAGAAGTGGGTGTGGCCCTGGCCTGATCGGCTCAGTGGTTAGAGTGTAGGCCCTCGGACCAGTTCCAGGTTCAGTTCCTGCTAAGGTAAGGGCACATACCTTGGTTACAGTTTGTCTCCAATTCCAGTTAGGGTCGTGTGGGTGGCAACCAGCCGATGTGTCTCTCACATCCATGTTTCTCTCTCTCTCTTCTCTCTTCTCCCCTCTCTCCCTCCCCTTTTATCTGAAGATAAATGCAAAAATGTCCTTGGGTGAGGATTAAAAAAAAAAAGAAAAAGAAAACATATTAAAAAAAAAAGTGGGTGTGGCCAGTCTGGCTGTAGGTCCTGGTTTGCTGATACCAGGGCCTTTTTAAAAAAATGTGTTTTTACTGATTTTCCAGAGAAGGAGGAAGGAAGAGACAGATAGAGATAGAAATATTGACATAAGAGAGCAACATTGATCAGCTGCCTCCTGCACGCCCCCTACTGGGGATCGAGCCAGAAACTTGGGCATGTGACCTGACCTGGAATCCAACTGGGACCTCTCAGTCCATGAGAGGACACTCAATCCACTGAGCCACACCGGCCAGGCTGATACCTGGGCCTTTTAGTACAGGCCAGCGGCTCCTGGGCCCCAGGAGGCCCTTCCCTTCCACTGCCATTCCGGAGGCTGCCAGCCACTTGCTGGGCTCATAGCAAACAGGAAACAGCCCAGTAGTTCACACTGTGGGCCACACCTGCCCCCTCACCACCCTCAAGGTGCAGAGGTTGACTCAGCTTCCCTTTAAGGAAATGTCTCTAACTTAAAAGAGGAAGTGAGGGGAAGCTATATATCTCCAGGCCTCAGCAGCAGGAGGTGCCTGCAAGTTTAAAAAAAAAGGGGGGGGGGGTGTTGGCCTGGCCTTGGTGCCTCAACAGTGCTTGGAGAGGGTCACACTCCTGGGGTACACATGTGGGGGTCCAAGGACACCTGTAATGCACTGCAGGGCTCAGAGGCTCCTGGAATAAGGCCTGGGGAGGGGGACCGGTATGGTTGCCACAGGGGGACTCTCAAATCCAGTTGAGAACTCTGGTCAATGGTTATGGACCCTCACTGGCCCTGTGCTGCCCACCAGTTGGGTTTAAGAAAAGCGAGAAATTAAGACAACTGGGTGAAACTCTCCATATTTTAATGTAGGAAAATCATTCATGTTAAAAAACACAAAATCATGAGGGCCGTGAAAGCCGTACTTGTGGCACCGGGGCTATGGTGCCTTTGTGGGGCAGGAAGCAGACCAGGTGCACAGGCTCTGCAGGATCTGCCTGGGCCCTAGGGTGCACCTTCTACCACCTTCGCGGGGGTCATACAGGCTCTGGCCACAGTAACCAGTCAGGCCAGGGCTCACTCGGTCCTTTGTTCTGATATCCTACCAGAGCCTGAAGCCAACTTGCTCTAGGCTTTTCAGTTATACAAAGTCAGAGGCCTGGGTGACACTGAGTGTAGCATCTGCAGGGGCAAGGTGGAGCCACCTGAGGGCTGGAGGTTGCAGGTTGTTTCGTCTAGGGCTCAGGACGTGGGGCCCACAACCTGTCTCAAGAATACACCCCCCGCCGCAGGGCCTGCCCCTGGACCCCATGCACTCAGGTGCAACAGGCACCAGGCCTGGCCACTGTACCTTGTGGTCCTTGGGGAGGCCAAGGAGAGGTTGGTTCACTGGGCTTCTCGTCAAGTCTTTTATTTAGATTCCAAACAAACCAAAGCAGAGAGAAGAGGTGACCACAAGTTAATCCGTCTACTCATGAGCTGGGAACCCCAAGTCTCTGGTTCCAGCCAGTGGGGCAATAGACAGGGCCGGAATCCAGGCCCCTCAGGCCACCTTTGCCCCCAGGCCCGCCCACCGGGTGCCCAGCACTATTGGGGCCCCGGTACACGATGTGATGGCCTGGCCCCTCCTCTCTGAAGCAGAGGAAAACCCAGAACAAACACGGGGAAAGGAAAGCGAGATCAAGGAGACAATGCAAGAGCGGAGCCACCTCCTTGAGGTAGTCTCGGCGTCAGGAGGTGCCCAAGAGCCCACACAGTCTGGGCCTGGTGAGGTAAAATCTGTAAGTTTATTCGGTGGGGGACATGGTGTCAGGACTCCTCATTGCCAGAGTCATCCTCGTCGTCCCCAAAGCAGCTGTCAGCTTCGGCCTCAGCCTCAGGATCCTCGTAATAGTCATCATAGAAGAGATCTGAGCCCTCGTCAGGCGCCGGGGCCTTGGTCTTCACGCAGTACTCGGCCAGCGTGGTAGGCACCTTCACACCGTCCCGCTCCGCGTCTACCTTGGTCCCCAAGACCTGCTTCCTGGGGGAGAGACAGGCAGGAGTCAGGTGAGCTATGGCCTTGTCAAGATCCATAACCAGATGCCTCTGGAGGGAAGGAGGTGACCAGGCAGCTTTGTGGAGGGCAACTCGTGTACTAAGCCCCAGGGAGGGGCCTGAGCGAGGCCAAGCTATAGGGGGCTTTGCAGCAGAAACCAAGGATCCTGGAAGATCGCTACACCAGGTAAAACGCTGCCACCAAATTATATACTTAACCCACCTGACCAAATATCAAGGGGGATTAGTTCTCCAAGGCCACAGGATTGAAGGACTTCAGCTGAGGAGCGGGAGGCAGGCAGAGGGGAAGAAAAGTGGACGGCGGGGACAGCATCCTGTGAGAGGGAAAGGATGCAATGGGCTCACCTAGGCAAGTGCAGACTCAGCACTGCACTGTTCACCAGGCAGAGGTGAGGTCAGGGAAATGCTCCTGTTTACAGTGAAAGGGAGAACAAGCGAGGTGACAGATTGGTAGAATCCCACAAGGCATACACCTAGCTGTCCAACGCTCTAGTCCCAAGTATGTCTGAAACTGGAATTTTGAAGGACCAACCTGCAGATGCTGAAACCTCTAAGCCCACCAGGGGCTCTGCCTCGCTACCCTGACAGAACTGTGGGGACACAGATGGGGTGAACAAACAGGCAGAAAGCAGCCATCACAGCCACCCACGTGGGCACATGTGAGCTGGCCCACAGGGAGTCTGGAGGGATAAAAATAGTCTGGATTTTATTTCAGCATCATGTGGGAGGTGGCAGGGAAGAACTGGCAGAGGAGTGGGCCATGTGGGCAGGACACGTTGGAGATGCCACCCAGCACTCACCCTGTGACCCCGTGGGTTGTGCACAAGTATCAAATGAGGCTGGCAAAAGCAGGTGTTGGCCGAGCAAACACCTGCTCTTGGGGGCTGGTGGGGGGACTTGTGTTGCTACGTCCATCACAACTCTTCATCAGCTCCACAAACTGGAAACTACGACTCCTAAGCATCAAGGACAGCTTTCCCGGAATGATAGTGAGATGCAGAAAAGAAGGGTGCACCCTGTATGCTCATGGGTCCCCTGGGGACTGTATATGTCAGTCATTTAGAAAATTCTTACATAAACCACCACAGAACAACCAGCAGAAACAGGCCAGACTATGTAAGGAAGCCAGCAGAATTCAGTCAAGGAAAACGCAAGTAAAAAAAAACAAAAACAAAAAACAAATAAAAGACTAGACACTGCAAGGCCACCAATGCCCTAAACAAAACACTGCACGCATCTCCATGTAAGCATGTACATGTAAGACACACATGTAAGACAAACAACTAGTCGAACTGCAGAATAAGATGAAATGGAGAACTGAGGGCTGTCTAGAGACAGGGAACAGTTGGTTTTATTAGGAAGAGATAAAGCACATGAACAGCCTCAAAGGTCAGGTACCAGGAAGCTACAAAAGGCTGTTTCCTACTTTCCAGGTAAGAGCAGTGGCTGCCGGGGTGTAGTGGGGAAGGAAGGGACAGTGGAGGGTAGCAGGGAAGTTTTGGGTGGTGGAGCTGGATCTGACCTCAGCAAAGAGATAGTCATGTTAACTGTCGAAACTCACCAAACTGAACCCAAAAAGGATGAGCTTTACTGTGATACCTCAACAAACCTGACTAAAAAGCCGGTTACCAAGTGGCATATACAGCGTGGTCCCACTTTTTGGATATATGTCTGGAAGGATACACCGAAACATTAACCATTAGGTATTAGGATCATGGGGTTTTTGTGTCTTTTTGCACATAAATATTTTTTGCCTTCTCGTTGATTTGTTTCCGTAGCGTTATGAAGACAAACTGTACTCATGTCAAGTGTCAGCAGTGAACTACCCACAAGCGCCTCATGAAAGCATCCCACAAATGAGCTCACAAATGTACCCATCACCCCCAGAGGCCCCTATGCCTCTTAAACCCCACATCCCCGATGGCCACGAATGCACTTCCTAGGATTCCTGTCCGGGAGTGTGCCATCAGCCCGTGTGTACCTGGCTTCCTTCACAAAGCTTAAATTAAAGCCTGGTGATGCCTCCACGTGGCTGGCGAACAGGCCACGGCTTGCTCACCCTTCACCTCATATATTTGGATTGTTGTTTGTTTTGGCACACTGATGCCATTTTGAACATCCGCATGGATGCTGGAGCAGAACGTGCCCATTTCAGTTGGGTAAATACTTAAGCCTGGAACGAACGTGCCATAAAGCAGGGGTGTTTCTAATTTCTTATTTACTTTTCTAATTAAAAGGTAAATGACAAACTATAAAGGTATTTGGAAAAAACCTAATAAAGGGCTGTTGATCATGAAACAAGTCAGTAAACTCCATGATAAAAGTGCCAATGGCCCTGGACAGTTTGGCTCAGCATTTAGAGCATTGGCCTGAGGACTGAAGGGTCTCGGGTTCGACTCCCGATCAAGGGCATGTACCTGGGTTGCAGGTTCCATCCCTGGACCAGTTGGGGCACATGCAAGAGGCAACCAATCGACATTTCTCTCTTTCTTTCTCCCCCTTTCTCCCTCCCTTCCACTTTCACTAAAAATCAGTGGAAAAAATATCCTTAGGTGCGGATTAAAAAAACAAAACACACACACACACACACACACACACACACGCACGTATACTTTTTTCTTTTTTTTATAAAACGTTATTTTCTTTCTTTTTTTTTTTTTTTTATCCTCACCCGAGGATATTTTTCCATTTTTTGTACAGATAGAGTGGGAGGGAGAGAGAGGAAGGAGAGAGAGAGAGAAACATCAACGTGAAGGGACACATCGAGTGGCTGCCACCCGCACGACCAACCAGGGCCGGGGACAAACTGCAACCGAAGTACGTGCCCTTAGCGGGAACTGAACCCGGGTCTCTCCGGACCGCAGGCCGACGCTCTAACCGCTGAGCCAAACTGGCCAGGGCTAAAACGTTATTTTCTAAATATGCTGATACCATGGTGGTTTTCTGCTTTTAGATAATGATTCCAAAACATTATATTTTAATTTGTTTAAAAATACTAACATAAGTGAGGCTCACAGCAGCAAATTATTACATGGGAAGGATAACACATTACACTAAGCACAGTCTCAGTAACATGAAAAATGACCGTATGAAAAACTGATGAGTGACAGAAGCAAGCAGTGGAAGGGTATGTGTACGTCCGGATGTGGGTCACGGGGCACCTAAATGTGGACCGGCAAATCACATCCCCATTTGCTGGACATACTTATATGGGCCGAATGTAACAGGAGGACCCCATTCTCAGATGTGCTGCCCGCGAGGAAGGGAGGGAAGCAAGGGGCAAAGGGAAGACTAGGAGGATGTCTGGAGCTTGCTGCTGGACACCTGGGTGTCTATTTCTGTGCTGTACTATTATGCCTGTGTGTGTGATATGCCCACATCCCAACACGCACACGCACACCCGAGTGTGTGCACATGCACACAGTATGTCTATGTACTATGTTAAATATATGGACTTGTATAACAGATATTTCAAAATGCAAAGAAGAAAGAAAAATACTGAGTTTTCTTTAAAAAATGGAGAAGAGTCCAGGAGGAAAGAAAAATGGGTTGGGCTTGAATCTGGTTGGATCTTTCCCACTGCCCAGTAGCACTGGTTTCCTAGTTAGTGACTCCTGCACTGTGGGCAGACTTGAGAAGCCAGGTTGATTTGGGAGCCCTTCCTTACCGGATGATGTCTGTGTACTCCCGGTCCTTGCCTTTGCTCTCTTTCCACTTCCTGTACATCACAGAGGCATCCACATTGGCTGGGGAGAAGGTGTTGGGTTCATTGAGGAGGGAGATGACGCTCAGAAGGATGGTCCTGGGGAAGGGAGCATGAAGTCAGCAGTTGCAGGGCATGGGGGGTGTTCACTGGAAGCCAGGTCCTTTGTTGTACCAGGAACCATAGGCCGAGCATAGCCCCCCCCCCCCCAGTAGCTGCCATTTATTGGAGAACCCACAAAATCCCAGCTCTGTAGTCTTTTAGGCCTGAGACTCACTGGAGAAGCTCTGGATACACCCTGAAGCCAGGACCCACCCAGAGAGCCCATGGTACACACCCATCCCAAAAGCAACATTTGTCTCAACTTCTCACTGGGCCTTCCATGACTGCTGGCCTCCTCCTGCCCTTTGTTGCATGCCCAGCTCCCTGGACAAGACATGTATGGGCAGCCATACCCAGGATCACCTTCCTTCCATCTGAAACATGCCTCTCCCATGCCCTAGTTCCCTGTTTGACAAATGGGTCCCTCTGTGCTACCATCTCTTATTATGGCCTGGGCTGGAGGCAGGGTACCAGGCCCAGGGACTTGGCCACAGTGGGGCTGGCCCACTCAGGGTGAGGAGTTCACCCCCGAGGACAGAGGTAGCTAAGCTCAGTGGGGGTTGAGGAAAGAGGAGAGACTTCAGGGTAAGGCAGAGGGGAGACCCTGTGGACAGAAAGATATAGACACAAGATTACCATTTGATGGGGCAGTGGGTGTCAGGAAGTGACGGGAGAGGCCTGCAGAGATGGCCCAAGACCTTCTGGGGCCCCAGCACCCTGGCAGAAGATCAGTTTTAATAGATGCCACAACACCACAAGAAGCTGTGACCCTGAGGATGACACAGGTGTGTCTCCCATGTCTGGAGCAAAGAGGTCAGAAATGCTAGGGGTGAGGGGTGCACATCTACCTGCTAACCAGCCTCACCTGACATTCTGGGTGGGGTTCCACCGCTCTGAGGGCAGCTCACCACTCTGGGGGTCATCGACTGGGGGGTGGAGAATGGAGATACACACGTCCCCTGTCTGTGCAGGGAGAGGAGGGAGGGGTCAGTGTCCACACCAGCTCATCAGGCCACACAGCATCCCTTCTCTGTCCACCCCCATTACAGAGAGGCTGGGAGGAGTAGGTGGGAAGGGGCAGGCTCACCTCGTAGATGTTGGGGTGCCACATCTTGGTCAGGAACCGAAAGGCTGGCGGGGAGTAAGGGTAGTCGATGGGGAACTTGAGGCGTGCCTGGGGGGTGGGCAGAGAGCAGGACTCAACCAGGGCCGGCCCTGTTGTCCCCTCGGTGCTGTGTATGAGTTCAGGCTGGACAGGACTGGATACCTCTTGAGGACTCCGCCCATAAACACACAAACAAGGATATTAGCCTGGGATGGACACCCCCACTACAGGAGGGCTGTCCAGCTGGGATGGGCACTTGTGCGTGTGTGAGTGTACAAGAAATCTCGAATGCCACCCACACCCCTAATAGACCTAGGGTCAGGTGCACAATAGATTGTCTCGGGCTTTTTTTATTTTTATCCTCACCCGAAAACACTTTTCAATATTTTGTTCAGATAGAGTGAGAGGGGGAGAGAGAGGGAGAGCAACATTGACGTGAAAGGGACACATCGAGTGGCTGCCACCCACATGACCCAACCAGGGCCGGGGACAAACCGCAACGGAGGTTCGTGCCCCTAGCGGGAACCGAACCCGGGTCTCTCCGGACCGCAGGCTGATGCTCCAATTGCTGAACCAAACCGACCAGGGCTGCCTTGGGCTTTTTGGGGATCACGACGCTCCAATTGCTGAACCAAACCGACCAGGGCTGCCTCGGGCTTTTTGGGGATCACCTGAGCTAATCCTGGTCCCTACCCTGCTACTGGGGAGTGTAGGTGCCTGCCCAGAGAGCAGCTCAAAGCCCACCTGTGGCCCTGGCCTATAGGAAGGTCTGGAGGCTGGGCCCCAGGGTGGGTTCACACCAGCAAACAGCTCCACAAACCGGCAGGGGCCTGGGGCCTTGACCCTGGGAGCTGTGCGCCTCAAGCGCGGTACTAGACTCCCAGACTCAGTTCCCAAGTTGTGGGGAGGATTAAAATAGATGTGTGTTCACTTGGCAGTTCTTCCCAACACCTCCGTGGCCTGGGCCCTATGGGAGGAGATGAGTCAGTGCTGGGTGGACATGCTCTCTGACCACAGGTGTCCATCTTGGGAAATGAGGAAGGCAGACAGGAAGGTCATGCGGTAGATGGGGAGGGCCACCTGACTGGTGACAGAGCTACACAGTCTCAGTAGGTAAGGAAGCTTTATTTGCCTGCTTGAGCCCAAGTCCCAGGCTTCAGAACATATGGCCCAGGAATCTGACAGTGCCTCAGGTTCTCAGGGGCGTGGAGCAGGCTAAGGGCCACAGAGGAGCAGGGTATCTCTACTGGGTAGGGGCCACTGAGGGCATTTTGGTCAAGTCACTGTTCTCAGGTGAATGATGAGGCCACTGGCCACAGCAGCAGAACAAGTCGGACCCCTGGGTTTCAGTACCTTCCCTGCAGATCTCTAAGCCCAGTGCTGGGCTTCTAAGTGACAACCCCAAGAACAGCTGACGACGCCTCGGCGGAGCAGGGAGATAGGCCTCTCCTGCACCAAGCACCCATCAAGTCCCATCGCATCTTGTTTACCAAAGCTCTGAGAATGAAAGCACCTTGCCCTAGGGCATACAGCAAGAAACATGTGGAAGGGCTGCCCTGCCCTGGCCAGGTTGGCTCAGAGGTTGAACGTGAGCCTGTGGATCTGAGAATCCTGGGTTCAGTTACCACTAAGGGCATGTACCACACATACACAAAAGAAGCATTAAAAAAATGTGGAAGGGCTCCAGAACCTAGTTTCTCTGGCACCCCTTTACCACACTGCATTGTCCAGGAGCCCCCCCTGGGCTGAGTGTTGCCACAGCTCATAAGCTCTCATGGTTCATAAAGGAGAACTGAGGGTGGCTGGGCCTCAAGGAAGGTGCTGCAGGAAGTGGTTGGGAAGTGATGGTGGCCCATGGGCACTTCCTACCCCTGCATTTCCACATCTCCTTTGGAAGAGGTCCCCCCCCCCCATTCCCTACCTGACCATATGGGGACCTGAATGGGGGGGTTGGGTGGGTGGCAGAACTGCCCTGGGCCCCATGCTGGCTTCCTTGAGGAAAGACCCCATGGCAGATGTGATCAAAGTCTGGCAGCACTCTTTCTGCAATCCATTCTTTTCTAGGAAAATGTGATTACCCCCACAACAGCCTGGGAGGCTCTACTCACAATTCCTTGCAACCACTGAGAGGGCAACAGCTAGACATGCACATCCTTTCCTACTGACCTGCAACCTGCCTTAGAGTCCTAACCTGGGTTTGCCTAGGAGTGGGACTTAGTTATCCTGGTTCTGAAAGAGCCCTCCTCCTCACAACCTGCTGTTCCCGAAGCAGACAAAAGAGGCTGGGCAGGGAGCTGGTTAAACCTTTCAGTAATCAGCCCCAAATCTGTTCCCTGCAAGGGGAGGCCTGACTCCAAATGCAGAACTCAGTCCAGGGCTGTTCACACTCCTCTGCCTATCCCACCTCAGCAGGCCAGGCTGCTCCTCATAGACGAGTGAGCAGGTGAGGCCAAAACTTTAAGTTAAAAGTACAAACAGAGACATCTGTCTGGGCAGCACTGCCCTGCACCTTCAGCCTGGCCTAGATGTGGTTTTTGCTCCCCAACCAGGCAGAACCTGGCAGGTCCCTGCCAGGCTGGTGGCAGGCTGTGATGGAGTGTGTTCCTATGCAGAAAGCTCGTTTCCCACCTCTCCCACAGGGAGACCCCTTGCCTCGTCCCTCTGGCTCAAAAAGTCAAGTCCTTTGACCTGAAAGGGGTCCTTCGAAGGCACATCTGGACTAAGATCAAGAGGTTGAGAAAGCTGCCTGGGTTTTGGCCTGAGTCCTTTGTCACACCAGTCCCAGGGAAAGCACTAACTTCCCTTTCCTGATCCCAACAACAGCAAAAGGGAACCGCTTGGAATTAAACCACAGAAGAAATGGCCCAGAGCATGAGATTCCAGCTATCTGCTTAGTGGAACATGAGAAAGGCCAGTTGGGGTGAGAGAGGAGCCCAAGCTTCTGAGACTAAGGTCTGGGAGGCTGGTAGAAGCCAGAGGCCTGGGGGTGGTCCATGGGGGCACCTCTGCAGTGCAATTCCCAGGGACGGGTAAAGGATGGGAGTGACAGCTCCTCCTCAATCTTCCGGAGAGAACAGGTTATGTAAAGCTCCAGATAAAGCTGAGAGGGCTTGGCCCGCTGCTATCGGCAAGGGTGGCCGCTTTCCAAGCAGGTCCTGGCTGCCAAGGCCCCATCCAGGCCTTTGTTAAAATCTGATCAAGTGGCAGAGCCAGACCCCTACCCCCACACTGCTGGCCTCCCTCCCTCCCCTAGGCTGGTGCTCCCCAACAATAGTGCTTGCTGGTTCTGGGGAGGGCTTTGTCTTCTCAGGGCAAGGGGCTGGGAAGGCAGCTGAAGGCTGGGTCAGCAAGGGCGGGGCGGGGGGAAGGGAGCACCAGGGACTAAGCCCTCCCAGGAGTGAGGTAAGCCAGAACCCGTACCCAAACAAAACAGGGAGCGTCCTGGGTCTGCTCTCTGGGGGATCTGAATCTGTCTTAGAGGAAACTGGGAGGTTCTCGGGGACTCCTGGGGTCTGAGAAGGGGTGACTGAGGGACCCCGTAAGTGACAGCGGAGGACTTGGGGAGAGGGAAAGGAGGACCACTCCGGGAAAAGGGTCGCGGTGTCCGAACTGGGCTGCGGGCTCACCTTAAAGTAGCCGCCTTCGTAGTAGGTGTTGGGGGGCCCGAAAATGGCCACCTCCCAGTTGTACAGGTCGCCCTCGTCCACTAGGGTCACCCGGAAGCCCTCCACCGGCTCCTCCTGCAGCCCCTTGAGCTCGAGCAACAGCGCCTTCTGTGAACTGGGTACCAGCGGTCGGGCCATGGCGGCGGCGGCGGCGGCGGCGGCGGCGGCGGCGGTAGCGGAGGAGCCCGGGATCGGGGATGCGCTGGGCCGCGGGGCCGCCGCGGGGGCGCGGGATGGGCCGGGCCGCGCGCCGGCTTGGGGGGCGCCGCCGCCTTCCTCCTCTACGCTGCCGCTGCCGCCGCCTCCCGGAGTCTCGGAGCGCTCCACTCGCTCTGGCGCCGCCGCCTGCCCGGCGCTCCCCTCGGCCCGGCCCGAGCGCCCCGCCCCGCGCTGCGCCTGCGCGCCGCCGCCAGGCCCCGACAGCGCCTGCGTGCCGCGGCCAGGCCGTGGACCACACCTGCGCGCTCACCCGCGGGGTACGCCGGGAAGTGGAGTCCCCCTCCCTCGGGCCGCCGGGCGCGCGCTGAGCGCGACAGCCGGGAGGGAGGGGGCCGAACGCCCAGGCGCCCTGGTGCTTCCGACCCGCTGGGAGGCCGCTGCAGACCCCCGGCTCGGACTGGCACCCCGGACGCCTGTGCGCGGGGAGGCAGGCAGGACTGGGCTGCGCCGCCGCGGCCCGGTACGCCGGGCTTTTGGGGTCGTTTTTTGTGACGTCCCCGGCGCGGGGCGGGGCCGGGGCGGGGAATTGGGAACTGGGCTGGGCCGGGCCGGGCCGGGCCGGGGTCCCAGCCAAGTCGGCTTGTCCCGATCGCAACCCTGCGGTCCTGATCCTGTTTCCACATTCGTAAGGTGGACTGGCGGATTCCCTTCCCGGGTCGCTGCGGCGACCAGAAAGGACCCCGTGAGGCAGAAGGGAGGTGAGAGCCCGCTCACCCGGTCCTCGGCGGGCCGTGCCTCAGTTTCCCGTCGGTGGGGCTGAGGATTGGGCCCAGCTACGGACAAGTGCGAAGGCCCTGCGACGGCCATGTGGACGCGAAGAAAGTTAGGAGGCCTGAGCAGAGTCTTGGTCACCATTCAGATCCACCAATTGGAATCAGAAGAGATGGACAAAATTGCCCCGCAGAGAAACCCTGTTCAGCACTCACTCGGCACCCATCCTGGCTGAATCCCCAGACTGACCCCTGACCCTGGCTGGGCCCTAATCTCAGGCTGACCTTTGACCCCACCCAAGTCCTGACCCCAGCTAGCTAGCCCTGACCCAGGGCTTCACCCCGACATGCCTAAGCTCTGACCTGGCTGAGTTCCTGGGCCCAGACACCCACACACCACTTGCCAGGACACTTGGTCAGGAGATTGAGGTGGGGTGCCCTGGACTTCATCCCTCCACCTCTGCAGGGTGATAACTACCTGTGAGGATGACCTGTTGTTGTGGCCCAGGCTTCTGGCTGTGCCTGCGGCCTTCCTGGCAGATGTCCTGGGCAGCCAACACCTGCAACACTTCAAGCTGGACTGAGGTGACACCCTCCCCCAGATGCCCCAGAACCTGGCCTCTTGCATTGCCCCAGCTGACAGGCAGGCAAACCTGTCTGGGGAAAGGAAAATAAAATGTCAACAGTGGGTAGGGACAGAGGAGTCAGAGCCCTGGCAGAGCAGCAGCTCAAATGGCGGCCCAGGGCAGAGCCTTGGCTTTCTCTAGGCTTTGTCTTTCAGGCCCTCTGCCCTGCACTTTGGGGACTTGGATCAAGCCCCTTCATCTGTCCAATGGGCTATTATTATCTTTGCTGAGTGGTCCAGGTGTTCTGACCCTCATTGCCCATAAAAGCAATGTCATAACATTGCATGTGGCACCTTGTCAATAAATAGTGATTAGCCATGATCTCTCCCTATGTATACCCCACATTCCTAGGAAGTACTGGGGGTGGGAAGTGCTACAAATGTAAAGGAAGGCACTGGGTTTATGTGCCCTGCCTTGGGCTCGTCCCACATGGGACCTTGTCCTTCAGGAAAGCCTGCTGCTCAAGCTCTGAAACTTGTGGTGGTGGATGTCTACGGTTTCTGCCTGTTTTCTGGCCACAGCACCTGCTTTTCCCATGTGTTTTCCTCATCTGTCAAATGAGGGTAGTGACTTACCTTCCTCATAGGGCCATGGTGAGTCAAATAAGACGTTGTAGGTTTCGAATGTATTAGCTGTTTCCATCATCACTGCCAGTCTGCTGTTGACCTTTTCATCTGACAGCAGGGGAAACTGAGGCCCAGAGAAGAACTGCTTGGGTGGGGCATGTATAGAAGACGGTTAGGGACTGGGTCTCCATATTCCAGAGCAACGTAGGCCCACAGTCCTGGGGGGCAGGACCTCCTGGGTCTAGGGCACCTCTCTGGATGCTCCATTGCCCTCTGCTCCCATAAAGCTGCATCCAGGTGGCAAATCTGGCCTCTGGGCAATGATGGGCCTGCCGGGGTTGGCCAGTATGCAGCTGGGTGAAGAATCATTTCTGTGGCATAGGGCTGGGGTGTGGGGAGCACACATACACATCAGGTCTGCCTCAGGCACAGACTTTATTACTGCTGAGGAGAGGGGCCTTTACAGGTGTTTGGGGAGGGGTATCAATTTCCGGGGACCCTCAGCCTTCCCCTGATGGGGCAGCTGGAGTATCATTTCAAATCAGAGGCTGGGTGAGGGCTCCCCACACCTCCCCCTGCATGCAGAAACCCCAGTCCCAGTCCCAGACCCGTGTTCTGCCTAGAAGCAGGAGAGCCACGCCTCAAAGCATCCCAGTTGTCTGGGAGGAGAAGGCTAGTGAGGTGTGAGAGGGGCTCAGCTCACTGGCTTGACCTTAGCAATGAAAAGGGCAGCAGCCTTTTCCAGGAACTCCTCTCGGGTCATAGGGGAGCTGGGCTGCCGAGTCACCAAGGCTCGGTCCATAGTTAGTGCCAGGCTATCAGGCCCCAGGCGAGAGCCAGCCTCCAGGTAGTGGACAGGAGCAGCAGCACTGTTGCTGGCCTGCAGGGCCCCTTCCAGAGTGTCCAGCACTGCCTGGCCCATGCGGCGGTCAGCAACGGCCAGGGTTGGGTCCTCCAGCAGCTGGTAGAGGGCGCCGGCCCGCGCCACGAACTCCAGCAGCACAAAGCAGGTGAGCATGCCAGTGCGAAAGACATCCAGTGGTACAGCCTCGTGGTCCCGGCACTGGATCTTGCGCAGCAGGGGTGTCACGACCTCCTCGGGGGCCTCTCCATCTCGGCAGATGCGCTTGAGCAGGTCACTATAGGTACGCCCATCCAGCCCCGGCTTCTTCTTGCGCCCACTGGCGCTCAGGCACTCGTAGGCCACACCGACATTGTTGTTGAAGGCTGTCCTGCAGGCGGACAGGGGTGTTGGGCCAGCCCAGCAGAGCTTTCTTCCCCATGCCCACCAGCCTAGCCCCAGGCTCCTGTCCCTCTTGCTCTTCCTCCAACATGCCAGGCCTGGTCCAGCCTCAGGGCTTTTGCACATGCTGCGAATGCCCTTCCCCCAGCCCTCCCCTCCCTAACCCTTTCCTCCTCTATTTTTCTTCATAGCAGTTAACCACTGTCAGACTTGCTATATGGTGTCCTTACGAGTTTATGTCTTTCCCATCTGAATGTTCAGGAGCCCACATCAGGGTTTATCTGTCAGTCACTGTGCAGCACCAGTGCCTGGCCCTCAGCAGGTGCTTGATAAATGTCTGCTGAATCAGTAGATGGGCATCCGCCCCATGGGACCCTTCAACTGCCCTCCTGAAGATGACATTTGCACTTACAGGGTGGTCACTCTTGGCCAAACACTGTGCCTATCCATTTAACATGGGTTAACTCATGCCATTCCTCCAGAATCCCACTGGCCAAGAGTCAGCAAACTATAGACGTGGGTCAAATCCAGCCCACTGTCTGTTTTTGTAAACAAAGTTTTATTGGCACACAGCTACGTCAATGCACTGACACATTGCTTGTGGCAGCTTTCTTGCTGCGATGGCAGAGTCCAATGTTCACAACAGAGATTGGCCTGCAAAGCTGACAGAATTTGCAATGTTTACAGAAGTCTGTCAACCATGCTCTCAGTTGTGAGGTGAGGGCTATGAAGTGGGGGTTATGAGGTGGGTATGGTTCCTTGCCCCAGGAGGAACCTGAGGTCTTAGTAGGTGTCTTGAACGTGCTTTGAGCTTCACATGCAAAGTGGGGGAGCACTAGTTAAGTGTGTGGGATGCAGGATGAGCCTGGGTGGCTAGTTTATCCGGTGTTTCACTCTCATCAGACTGACAGCCCAGCACCTGGCCTGTGACCCAGTGCTAGTGGGGCTGGTGGCCTATTACTAGTTTCACAGTCACAATAGGGAAGTGAGGTTCAGGGTAGACTGATGGTCAGACCAAGGATCCCAGGGAAGAAGGGGCTGACCCTAGACCTTATATTCATTCTTTCTGGAAGCTCCACTCCATGGTTCACATTGCAGCTAATCCTTACCCAAGGATAAGTTTTAAACTGATAAAAACAGATACTACACTTGATCTTAGCCAAATGACTGAGATATGAGTCCAAGGATATGTTTAAGAGAGAGACAAAGAGAGAGAAACACTGATCGGCTGCCTCCCGTACTCACCCTGATGGGATAAAAACCCACAACCTAGGAATGTGCCCCGACTGGGAATCAAACTCAAAACCTTTCAGTGTATGAGATGACATTCCAACCAACCGAGCCACCTGCAGCTCCACTCTTACTCATGTGTAACCTGGGCATGTCATCTCACCTTTCTTTGGGGTAGTGTACAGTGGGTGCCAAGCAAATGCTGGCCATCACATAGCAGGTATCCAGTAAACTTGAACACTCTGGTCACCTCTGCTGCCCAGTATGAGGCTTATGGATAGCTGTGCTGACTCAATGAGCTATGTGGTCAAAGTCCCATTACAGGGGAAACTGAGGCCCAGAGGCAAGAGGGCAGTCGCCTGGGTGGTTTCCCTCCCAGCTGAGATCCAGTCTGTACCCATCTGGCTATCAACTCCTCTGTCTTCCCATTTATTGGGCCCTTTGATATGCTGGGTGCTTTGCAGTGAGTGAGACCATCCAGGGAAGTACTGAGGGTGGTGCCAGATGCAGCCTCATGTTCAACAAATATTCATTTCCATGGTTACAACTGTTGCCACATAATGACCCTTTGTATGAGCTTTTATTAACTCCTTTCATCAGAATAAAGAAGTTGGGAAGCCTGGTCAACTGTGGCAGTCGTGAGTGCCTGTATAAGTTACCCATTGCTGTGTAATACCTTACCCCAAAACTTAGTGGCCTAGAACAGCAACAACAGTTATTATGTTGAGGTTTCTGTATGGCAGGAACTTGGAAGCGGCTTAGCTGGAGGATTCTGGCCCATTTCTTTGTAAGGTTGAAGTCACGATGTCAGCTGCGGCCATAGCTGGGCATCCCATGGGATGGCTTGAACACCGCATACATGGTGGCTGTTTTCGCAGAGCATGTGCTCCCAGGAAGAAATCACTCTCTATCATGTCCATGACACCTAATTTGACATAGGCTAACCCTGTGGATGTGGAAGATGAGTGCATGCAGGTGCGAATACCAAGAGGTGAGGGTCTCCATGGGCATCTTGAAGGCTGGTCACCACTGTGCTGTCCAACTCTCTCCATCCTGTGACTGAGCCCTGTAACTTGCTTCAGTCACTGAAATGTGAATGTAAGCAATGCAAGGGCCATGTTTGATGGAAGTTTTCAGAGCCATCACACCATTCCCCATGGTCCATTCCTCATTGCTATGATGTGTAAGCTCACAGCAGCCCCATGGTGTGAGACACAAACCTTAGTTGTGTTGAGGTCACTGACGTTTCAGGGGTGTTTGTTCATTTAGTGGGACACAGCTTACCCTGACTGGTACGTAAGTGGCCCACAATCCATTCAACTCTGGGCCCCAAAGCTTCTGTTCCAGCAACCTGGTTGACCCACCAGAGGTCAAACATCTAGGTGCTCATTGATTCCCCAGGTGTTCAATGAGCAACTTCTATGTGTATGCCTGTTCCTGGCCCCAGCTCAGACCTGCACTCAAGTCTTAGCCACCGCCTCTCAGTTTTGTCACCTGGAGAACAAGGGCTGTAATCTCTGAGCCTCAGGAGTCTTGTGAGGACGGAAGGGTAGGTTTTTATGCCAAGTGCTCAAGATTGTGCCAGCACATGGGAGGGGCCCCATGGGTGCTTGTCATTCGCTACAACTGGGGCTGCAATTCAGCCAGGCTGTCCAGATGCTGTTTATCTTAGACTCTTGGCCTCGTCGGGTAGGAAGGCATGCAAAGGGGTAATTACAGCTCAGCTAGTGAGATCAGAGCTTCGACGAGGATTGGGCAAGAAGCCCAGAGGAAGGCAACAACCAACCTCTAAGCTGAGGCTTCATAACTGTCCCTCCTGGGGGCTCCCCAGATGGTTCTCAGCCATGAGGGGCACCCATACCATGTGCTGAATCATGGTGGGGGTGAAGGTAAGACAGCCTACTCTGGACTTGGCAGCCTGGGTTCCATCTTGGCTCTACCTGGAGATTCTGGGCCTCAGTCTCTTTGTCTGTGAATTTGGACTGGGCACTTATTGAGGGCTCCATTCCGGTCAGCAGTTTGTGAAATATGCAAGCATTTGTTAAAACAAAAAAAGGAATATATTTTTGGGATGTCCCCAGAGAGAGACATGGAGACTTTTCACTTTAGATCAGGGGTTCTCAATGGGGGTGATTTTGCCCCCAGGGCACACTGGATATCTAGGGACATTTGAAGTTGTCACACTGAGGGTTCTCCAGTCATCTAGAGCTTGGGGGCCAGGGATGATACTCAGCACCCTGCAGTGTCCAGGACAGTCCTCCAGAGGCGATGTGAGCTAAGGAACCTTGGCTTAGACTTCTTAGTACCTTTTGAATGTCTTCCCAGGTCCCAGGGACCTGTGGGGGACATCACACTTGCTGTTAGTATTAGCAACATGGTGGCTTGGAAGAAGGCCTTGGAGCCACACTGACTGGGTCTGACTCTGGCCCTGTACCTTCATGGCCATGAAGCCTTCACAAGTCTAGAGGACACACAGGGTCTTGAGGCCAGGGAAGGGGGTGATAGGATGCAGCTGCAGCATCACCAGTCCTGCAGGCCAGCAATTCCGACTTCTCCAGACACCGGCAGAGGAGTTTCAGTTGACTTCTACCTAAATCTCTCATGTTGACATGCTCAAGAACAGCCCCACGATGGCCCAGTCAATGTTACGATGTCAGGCGAAGCTGCCCAATCTCAGAAAACCTGTCTCTTACACCTGGGACTGGCTTGGCCAGGCTTCTGCTCCTAACCCCGCAGGCACAGTTAAGGGCCTCCTTCATTCACCACTTGCTCTGTCTTCTGAGGAGCTGATTCTGCCACCAGCACCCACCACATCCCCTGCTCATAGCTCTTCCTCTGTGCCTCTGCTTCTCCCAGCTGCCTGCAGCAATGGATCCAATGCCTTGCACTGCATTGACTTGTGTCCTCACAAAATGCATGTCCATCTGGAACCTGTGAGTGTGACCTTATTTGGAAATAGGGTCTTTAATATGTAATTAAATCAGGATCTGGAAACAGGGTGAGGTGGCTCTAAATCCAATGCCAAATGTTCTTAGAAGAGTAGAGAGATCACAGTGAGACACATGAGACGGCTGTGTGACGACAAGGCAGAGGCTGAAGTGATGCTTCCACAAGCCCAGGGATGCCCAGGAGTTAGAAGAGCAGGAAGGACCTTCCCCTAGAACCTTCGGAGGGCGCTCAGCCCTGCAACACCTTGATTTCAGACTTTTGGCCTCAAGAATTGTGGGAGAATATATTTCTGTTGTTTAAACAAGTTTCTTACAGAAGCCACAGGGAACTAACACATTTTCCTGTGGACCCTAAATTCAACCGATACTTCTTAGCCCTCATCTACTGGGCCATTGGACACAGGGCTGCCACCAGCCCACAAGATGTCTTTGTGTGAATTAGGAAAAACTCTGCAAAAAGCCTTCATATACATGTTCTCATCTGTGATGTCCACAGGGCGAGTGGCTTATGCAGTGCTTGACCTGAACAACTGTACATGGCCCTGCCACCAACCATTATTCCTTGTTGGATGTCCAGGGATGCCATTCTCTTCTGGTTCCTTCCTTTACTTCTGGTCTGCCTTGAAATGCTTTCTTGTGAGTTCTCCGAGGCTGGGGCTACTCAGAGCTGAGGCCTGGATTCTTCTCAGCTCTTCTGAGGCTTTCACAACCCCTCCCAGTTGACAACCTCCTGTCCCAGTCACACATTTCAGTTGCAGACCTGCCTTTCCACTTTCCTGCTGCGAGGTACTCCCAGCTCCCTGACTTAAAAGTCTCCAAGGGACTCTGGGAACTTCCCCAAACTGGTGACCTTTCATCTCAGTATTTGGCCCCATGGACACGTGGGACTATCCTGCACACTCCCCTTCCACCCTTGCCCCAGCAAATCCATCATCTCGGCCTTCACAGAATGTCCCGAGCCCATGTATGTCTCACCAACCTGCTCTTCTTTCCAGGTTCCCATCTCCAGGGTGGCCCCAACATCCAGACACCCCGATGCTCCCTTGTCTGGCTATCATCTTAGATACCCCGTATTCCCTTTCCTTCTGTGGTGGCAATGTGGCTGCTCTGCTTGGATGCCCGCCTTCCACACCCCTCCCACAGCTGAGGTCCCTCCCCAGAATCTGTGCGTTCCTTCTTGTGACTCTCTTGGGAGGTCTGCCCAGATGCACCCTTGCTGAAATGTTCCCTTGCTTGGCTTCCTTCCCTTCCTGGGGTCTCCTGGAAGCATCCCCTTATAAAGGCACCCCCACATGAATGGTTGCTTCAGGCTCTGCTTCTGGAGATGCTCTTAACCAAGGCCCAGCCCACCCACATCCAGTCAGTGACTGTCTGGTTGATGATGCTGCTTCTCCCCAATCCACCTGATGCAGATCATGCATTCAACACATATTCCTCAACCACTTTACATAGGGTCACAACTGTGAGGAAGGGGGGACACGTGGTGAGTGGGTAGGTGACATTCCCTCCACCCTACCATGCGTCAGCTGTGAGAAGCTGTGGGTCCCCCACTACACCTGTACAGCCTCCAGGCAAGTGCACCCGAGGCACTACCTTTCTCTGTGCGTCACTCAGGGCTCTATCTGGACACCCCTCCAGCACGCTGGGAGCCTCCATCTAGGATAGGGGCCTTGGGTGGCTGCGTTGCTCTCTGTCACTACAGCCCAACCTTATAAAATACTCATTTTCTAGCTCATTGGGGTTGCTATGCTCGTAATGAGCCAGCTGGGAGGGATCTGGCTGGGATAACTTGCTGTGCAATCTTGGGCAAAGTCCTCTCTGGACTCCATGATGTTCAAAAAGTTGGGTGGACTGCAAGGGGGAACTCATTACCTACAGAAAGGCATCACAAAAGACGAAGCCGGCAGCAGCTATAGGCGGCGGCGCAGAGCATGCAGGCCACCGCCAGGCTACCATGGTGACATCCAGCCCTTCGCGATCTGGGTCCATCCCGCGCTAGGGAGGCACTGCGGACTACAGTTCCCAGCATGCCACGCGCTCAAGCGCTGGGGCCTGGGACGAAGAGCCGCGCGGAGCACGCTGGGAATTGAAGTCCGGTCGGGGCCCCTACCCGCCCAGAGACCCGTCCCAGTCCCGCACCTCTGGGAGTGGTGAGCCAGGCGAAGGTGCCATAGCGCGCGACCCAGGCGTTGCTGCTGCAGCAGGAGCTGGCCCGGGGGCTCCCCAGCGCCGCCGTTTTCAGGAGTACTCAGGCCCATGTTCTCGGAGTAGTGAGCCAGGAAGGAGATCGGTTCCTCGGGCCGTGCCTCCAGCACCTTCAACAGGGCTGCGCGCAGCATCTTTGTCACGCCGACCTGCTGCAGGAAGTCCTCCTCGCTCTCGGTCGTTGCTGCAGTCCGGGACACCGACGACCGGCTGCTGTCTGTGAAATTGGCCGCCGGGGCTATGGCTGGCCGCCGCTTCTCCACCGCCGCCATCTTCACTGAGGGCAGCGGAACCGGAAGCGCCGCCGTATTCCACGGTGGGTTGACGGCCATCTTTGTTAAGGGCAGAGGACGTTGGCTACCTCTGGGAGACTGGTGAATGACTAGTGCAGGCCACTCTTTTCCTTAGGTTCTAATTGACATTCTCCCTCCAGTTTCCTCTTTACATATACTGATTGGATTTCTTGGCTTAGTCTCAGAATCTGAACTTTGCCAGATTCCAAAATGGCTCCCAAGGAAGGGCTTGGTTTCCGGCATGAAGCCGGAATGTTAGCCATTTTGATAGTGGGCGAGTCCTTCCTTAGCATAGTTCCCTAGCAACCAGTCTCCTCGGTTACCAGAGAAGCTGGGGTAGCTTGAGAGGAGATTGATCCACCCGGATTCAAGGAAGCGCCGCCCCTTCCCATTTTTCTGATTTTCGTCTTTGAGCCTTTGCTCTCAGCCTGGCTTTTAACCTAACCCAATCTTGGTCTGCGTTTATAGTTCACCTCATGGGGACCCCCGTCCCAGCCACTTCTAGGCTGCATTAGCGGTCTACGCTATACCACTCTAGAGCCCTGTGCGTGTTTGAGGAATGAGTTGACCATCTACGGTCCCCATCCCAGGCCGTTACCTATCCTCACCACCGGAGGGGTCTTTCTCACACTATATCCTGTAGCACTCTGAACATTCCCATAGCTCCCCAGTGACCACGGGCTCAATCCCCTGGCATCTACTGATCCCATTTGTAGCCTCTGTTTCGGCTCTGTTCCTTAGCTCCCTTAATAAGCTACCTCTCTTCTGTGTATTTTTCCACACTGTTCCCCCACCCCCAATACATTCTCCATTTCTTTTGATGACTCCTAGTTAATCTTGAAGCTCCAGGGTCCCTGCATCCAGGGAAAGGCACAGCATTTGTATTCTTCCTCCCCAGTCAGAGTACACACTTCCCCAGCCCCACTGGCCTGGGGCTAGGGTGTCTGTCCATCCCCTCTCTCTGCGGAGTCGCCCAAGGCAGAGGAGTCCAGGGTCCTCATACTACAACAGAAGCTACTGAAATCAGACCATTTGCTCTTTATTCTCCAGTTGGGGGCAGCTCCCAGGGATCCCACAGAGGGGAAACCAGCTAGGTGGGGAGCCTAGATGTTCTAGCCATCAGGGTGAAGGACCCTAGGTCAGCCCTTATGCTGTCCAGAACCCTGCAATTGTCTTGCAGTCACAATTGAGTTGAAATAAAGGCAGGCTACTTCAGAGGCGCTGGTGGGCCTGGTGGTCAGCTGGTGGACTGGCAGCGTTTCCACAGGCGATAGGTGAGGAACGTCAGGAGGAGCAGCCCCAGCACCAAGCTGCCAATCCACAGGGCTTCGGACACTGGTGGGGAGCCTGGAGAGAGAAGCAGCAGGAGCCTGAACACCTCTTTGCAGATTGTGGGGATAAGCCCAGCAGAACCTGCCAAGGGCTTCCAAATTTATCAAGCTCCCTAAAATTTAACAAAGTACTTGACTTAGAATAGCGATTTTCAAGCCTTTTCATCTCATGGTATACGTAAACTAATTACTAAAATTCTGTGCCACACCAAATATCTGACAAAAAGGTATAATTTTGATTCATTCATACAGGACAGCTATTGTGTTGTCTGTTGTCATTTTTCAATTTGATAATGTTAGGGAAAAGAGGTCAGTGCCCCTGATTAAATAGGTATTGAATGTTTTAAAAATTCTTGCAGCACACTGATTGAAAATCACTGGCTTAGAATATCTTTTGAAAAGTATAAAAACAACTGGAATATCCAGAGGACTGTGGAGTGAATCTTTTGAAAGGTATGTAGGACCTTATAGTTAGAAGTGGGCTGTCCAGGGAGGCGGCCACTCACGTCTGTGCTTGAAATGTGGCTTGTCTGGGTGGAGAAGTGCTTGTTGTCAGTGTAAAATACACATAGTAAGAACGTAAAATACCTCATTCATAGTTTCTTACAGATTACTTGTTGATCCCTGGCTGGTTTGGTTCAGCAGTTAGAGCGTCAGCCTTTGTACCAAAAAGTCGTGGGTTCGATTCCAGCCAAGGACACATGCCTTGGTTGCAGTTTGTCCCCAACCCCTCTGGGGCCACGAGGGTGGCAGCCAATCAATAGGTCTCTCTCACATCAATGTTTCTCCCTCTTTCTCTCCCTCCCTCCCACTCTATCTGAAGATAAATGTAAAAATATCCTTGGTGAGGATTAAAAAACAAAACAAACATATTACTTGTTGAAGTGATAATATTTGAGATATATTGGGTTTAATAAAATATATTATCTAACTCATTTTTACTTTTATTTTCTGAATGTAGCTACTAGAAAATTTGAAATGACCTAAGTGGGGGAATTCTCTTTTTATTCCACAGGCTGTTGTAGTCTATAAAGTTCAGTTTACAAATTACTCTGAAACCTGTGTTGTCCCTGAAATTTATAGTCATCGCCATGCAGGCCACTGTAATCTTATGTTTTGAGGAAGCCCACTGGACAGTTGGGGAAACTAAGGCTAGGCGGGGCACCTCCTTGTCTAAGGTCTTGATGAAAAGCTTCCTCCTCCTAGGCCTCCCCAGTGCCCTCCCCTGCCCTCCAAACTCACAGATTTCTGGGAGTAGGTACAGACTGGCCGTCTGGCCCCCTGGTTCCAAGCGACACTGAAACCAGCCCTCGGGGTTGCATCCAGCCCACAGCACGCTCAGCCAAGCCCGGGCCCCGTCTTCCCACATCTTGTAAGTTGCCAGATCGCCGGGTGCCCGGGTCCAATGCACAGCTATATCAGGGCCACAGGCTGCTTCACACAGCAGCTCCAGACCCCCTGGTGCTGGTGACTGGTGGATCTCAGGGCGGCAGGGCTTGATGGAGCTGTTCCCAGGCTTGGGGCCAGGACTCCCAGGACTGTCGGTGGAGTCCTGCTCCAGGGTGGCCTCAGGAGAGGTTGTGATGGGGGGCTCCGGGGAGGTCAGGCTGTGCAGGACTGAAAAAGAGGGCAGCCATTTTTCTCCCTTCTGCCCCAGTGCTCTTTCTTGCCTCAGCCTCTCCATCTGGATGATGGAGTTGGATCAGAACTGCTCTAAGTCCCACTCTGGGCCACTTGGGTGAATGTACACCAGTGGGCAGGAGTGGAGTTGGCCTGTTGTGGCCCTCCCCACCCTGAGAGAACTTCTGAATCTCTTTGTCTCACTTTCCTCAACTGTAAAGGAGGTGAGAGCCCACCACCTAGGCCCACACATGTGCCCAGAGCATAAGGTTAGTGAGCACTGGAATTTATTATTACGGGTCTGGGAGGTGGAGAGAGGAGAGTGTGCATCTGATACAAACTGAGCGCCTACTGTGTGCCAGGGCCTGTGTTAAATGTTACCATTTGTTCACCATTCAGCAAGTACTTACTGTGTACCTGCTATGTGCTGGGCACCATGATAACTGCTATTCATTCATTCAGAGTGTATCTGTTCAACACCTATGCTTCAGGCACTGTTTTAGCCACTGGGAACACAACCATGAACAAGACACACATTCTTATCTTGGTGAAGCTAAGAGCAAAGGAGATAGATAATGGGGCAAAATAAAAACATAAAATGTCAGATGTTGATCAAGAAACAGTCAATAGGCCCTGGCTGGTTTGGCTCAGCAGTTGGAGTGTCAGTCTGCGGACCAGAGAGTCCCGGGTTTGGTTCCAGCTAAGGGCATGTACCTCAGGTGCACTTTGTCCCCAGCCCCAGTTGGGGTCGTGTGGGTGGCAACCAGTCGGTGTGTCTCTCTCGCATCGATGTTTCTCTCTCTCTTTTCCTCCCTCTCTCCCTCCCGCTCTATCTGAAGGTAAATGCAAAAATGTCCTCAGGTAGGATAAAAAAAAAAAAAAAAGACTGTGGTAGATGGAGCAGGGTAATAAAGTTCCCTTCTTTTCCTTCTATTAAAAAAAAACAAAAAATGAAACAGTCAATAGGAGAGAAAGGACTTGTGTGTGTGTAAACATGTACATGTGTGAGGGGTGGGATGAGGGGTCAGGGGAAGCCTCCCTGTAAAAGTGACCTGAGGGAGGTGAGTGAGGGAGTCATGGAGAAATCTGGGAGAAGAGCATTCCCAGTGGAGGGCACAACACATGCAAAGGCCCTGAGGCTGGACCATGTCTGTTGGAGGAATAGTGAGGAGGCCTGTGTGGAGGGAGCAAAGTGAGTGAGAGGGAGAGAGGGAGAAAATGAGAGCAGGGAGATGAGAGGATAGGTCGTGCAGAGCTTTGGGGGCTCCAGGGAGGAGTTGGGCTTTTTATGGAGGGAGGTGGGAGCCCTGAAGGGCTGTGAGAAGCAGAAGGGTGACGCCTGACTCAGGTGCTTACAGGCGCCCTCTGGTGGCTGCTACCAATAGGACAGACTGTGGGGATGAGGGTGGGAACCAGGGACCAAGTGGGAGGGCAGAGCTGATACCAAAGCACACGGAGCCTGGCACAGGGTGTGCGCTCAGTAAACTTGTGGAATGAATGAATAAGCAAACGATTTAGACGTTTCACTCTGGCTGCCACCAGGGGGCAGACTAAAGATGGAACACAATTTTTTCACCTGCCAGTAGGTACTCTGACCCTCTAGATAGGGACCCAGCAGGTGAGGAGCAGGACCAGGATTCCAGAAGAGCCGCTGAACACTACACATCAAGGCTCATAGGAGCTTGGTGGTGTGACTTTACCCACTTCATGGGGGACACTAAGGCGCAGGGCAGTCAGGGTCCTGCAGACTCACCTGGAATGGGGTGGCGGTGGCTCAGCTCCAAGCCTGGCAGCCTCATGGTCGCCTGGCAGTGGAGGGTGGGTGGGGCAAGTGTCCCTAGAGACGGCAGCAGCCAGCGCTCTGTCACCCGGAAAAGCAGGTCCTCGCCCTCCTGGGGCTCCTCTTCCTCATCCCGGCTCAGGACCTGCACCCCCTCCAGTTCCTGATCCCCCAGGAGCAGGGACAAGGAGAGGGCATCAGGGCTGACAGGAGTGATGTTGTGGGCCGTGCAGGCCAACTCTTGGTCTCGCCCGGCCACCAGGGTCACTGGGGAGACAGTCAGCTGGTTCGGGAAGGCTGTGTAGGGAGGGTTGGAGGGGGTGGGCTGAGCCTAGAGGATCAAGACTGGGCTCTGAGGGTGGGGGTGGGGGTGGGACCAAGCAGGGAGTGGGGACTGCTGGTGCACAGGGACAGGGAAGACCCACTGGTCACACCCTTTGTGGCTAGGATGTAAAAAAGGGGCTGGAGAGGGATCCAGAGCAGAAAGGGCAGGGGGTCGGGTATGGAAGGTTTGGGGGTGGATTGGGGGCTGGGGTGTGACAGCTGGGAGGCCTGGAGGGGGGATGTGTAGAGGTGGAAGTGGACTGCAGAGTGACTCAGGAGCTGCAAAGCAGGCTTTGAGCTGGGGCAGGGTAGGCAATCTGGGTAGGCTTCCCGGCAGAGGTGGCATAAGAACAGAGATAGAGCAGGGCTGCTGGGTGGGCTCGGTTTGTGCAAAGGCGGCAAGGAGAGGAGGGCAGGGGCTCACCGAACACCAGGACTTGCACGGTGTGCTGGAAGGTGAGGTTCCCGCAGGAGCCCACACACACGCGGGTCCCCGAAGCCGACAGCGAGGCATTGTGCACGGAGAGGACGCTGCTGCCGGCGCCCGACTGCACTGCACCCAGGCTAGTGTCTAGGCCCCGCCACTGCACCGAGGCGGCCCTGGGGCCCGCGCAGGGCAGGCGGCAGGTGAACTGCTGCGACCCGCCCAAGGCCACGGCCACCACCGGCTCCCTGGGCTCTACCTCCAGGGGCCCACCTGTGGGCAGACGGCGGCGCTCTCAGTCCCGCCCCGTCCCCAACCTGCGCCCCCAGCCTCAGACCCCTGTCCTGGGCGCCCTCTCTTCCAAGACGATCCTCTGCAGGATTCCCCCATCACCCTCCCTGAACCTCCCCCCGCCCTTCCTGGATCCCACTCCCCAACTGCCCCCTTCTCTTTCCTAAGCCCCTCTCCTCTCAGAAACTCCTCTTTAAAAAAATTTTTTCCCCTTATTGATTTTAGAGAGAAAGGAAGGGAGAGGGAGAGAGAGATAGAAACGTCGATGAGAGAGAACATCGATTGGCCGCCTCCTGCATGCCCTTCACTGAGGACTGGGTCCACAACCTGGGCATGTGCCCTGACTGGTAATCGAACCGGCAACCTCTTGGTGCATGGGTCGATACTGAACCATGAAGCCACACCAGCCGGACTCAGAAACCCCTCTTTTTTTATTTTATTTTATTTTATTTATTTATTTATTTCGGGTACGTGCCCCTAGTGGGAACCGAATCCTGGACTCTCTGGTCCGCCGGCGGACGCTCCAACCGCTGAGCCAAACCGGCCAGGGCAGAAACCCCTCTTTTTATCGAAGCCCCCCTCCTCTTCCGAACTCCCTTCACATCCACTCCCTCCTCCTTCCTAGCCTCCTCCCCTCTGGGCGCCCCTTCCCCTGCTCACCGCGGCCTTGCTGGAGGAGCCCCATGAGAAGGGGAAGCAGGAAGGCTAGGTCCTGCTCCATGCTGGGTCCCCTGCTCTGTCCCCGGCCTCCAGAGAAGTGGCTTAAATAGTGGTGCCTCGGGCTCTTTCCGCAGCCCCACGACCCTGCATCTCCGACCCCCCTCCAGCTGTTCCTCGGGGGTTTCCCGAGGGGGTTTCCCACCCTGACCCCCGACCCTGGAGGCGACAGAGAGACTGGGGCTGGGGGCGGGGGCGGGGCGGGGGGTGGCGCGGCAAGGCCGAGGTCCCAACAGATGGGGCGGGAAGATCTGGGCCAATTCCAGGTCTCACTTTCAGAGACGGAAAGGCTGGAAGATGGGGCCAGAGTGAGGTGACTGTCGAGGTCAAGTGAATGGAAAACCGAACTAGACCCAGGGTCGGCGCCACCCATGCGCGCCCATCGGCTCAATCTCGGCCTTCACTGCCCTGAGCGGCGGGGGTCGGTGGAGACCGCTGCCTTCCAGCTCCCTCTGCGACGCTGAGGGGGGGTGGGGGGGGCTCCAGGGGCGAGCGTCTTTCGTGATGGAGCCTCCTTGAGGAAAGGGTCCTGGGGTGGGGGAGGGTCTCCTGGGATGTTGGGACTGAGGCCCACTCGTGCCTGGGACATGTCGCCCTACCTCTGAGCATGTCTCCTCTCTGTCAAAGGGGCAGGCTGGTGGAAGGCCGGGAGCCCCTGGCGTGGGGGTGCCTCCATACTCTGTTCCACAGTCTTGGGTCTGGGGTCCACAGGAGAGGCCTGGGACCCCACCACAGCTGTCACCAGCCTGTCCTGAGAACCTCATCATTCCAATGCCGGAATCCTCCACCCTTTGCTCCGTGCCCCTCAGCCTAGTTCCCGTTTCCCTGTGTGCCCTTCCCAGCCAATTACCACTCAGCACCTAGAGCGGTTTCAGAAACACAGACACCCCAACCCCTAGGCTGCCTGTGGTATAAAGGAAAAAACCCAGCTCCTTGCTGGCCAGAGCCCTGAGGGATCAGGCAGTCTCAGGGCCTTTGCATGGCTGTGCCCTCACCCTGTTCAGTCTCTGCCCAAATGTTGTCACGGTAGAGTCCTCCCGAACCACCTTCCCACATCTCTCTCCTCTACTTCACTTAATCCAGGTGCATTTTCCTCAAAGCCCTAACTCCCCTGTACTGGGCCGGCGTGGGGGTGGTGTGGGGTGGATATCTTGTCTGCCGTAGGCCCGGATGACCCCAGACCCCATCACAGCAGGCACATAGGAAGAAAAGAATGGAAGAATACTGGTTTGTCCTGCACCAACCTCCAGGTGTGGCTTGTGCCTGTTTCTCTTGGGCAGCCAGGAGATGGGGTGTCTGAGCACCACCACTCTGCCTGTCTGCATCTCCTCATCCTCGTGTCAGGGGCAGAAACTGAGGCCCAAGAGGACAGGCTGGGAGCAGAGGGGTAAACTGGGGCTCTGAGGGGCCGGGAACAGAAGGAGTAAACCAAGGCTTGGAGGGACTAGGAGCATAAGAGGGGAAACTGAGGCCTAGAGAGGCAAGGGCACATGTGTGTGAACTCAGAGTCCATCTTCCTTGGTCCCAACCCTCCCCCCTGCCCTGGTGCCGGGAAAGGCCACACAGGAAGGTAGACTCCAAGTTTCAGTCCTCCCCAGCCTGGAGGTGTGGGCCCTTCTCGGGAAGCTGGGCCCTTAACCCCAGCTGGTCTGGTGAATGGGCCTCTTCCCAGCCCCTGACTCCACTTCCTGCTGCCTTGGCAGCTGAGGCTCCTTGCAGGGCGTGACCCAGCTCTCGGGGCCCTGCCTCCCCCACTGCTGCCCATCCCAGGCTCCCAGATCTGAGCTCTATTTGTGTAAGTGATGGGTGCATCTTCACATTCAGACTCATACCGCTGTAGAGAGCACGAGGAGAGCCCCATGATCTGGGTGGGTGGGGCGGTCAGTGCCACCACTCTGAGGACAGGTGGGCTGAAGAGATGAAGAAGGTTCTGGGCAGAGGTGGAGCCTGGAGAAAGGGAAAAGAAGAGGGTAAGGGGGGGTGCAGAGAGGGATGGGACAGGGGCCTGGGTGGTTCCCAGGGAGGGGTAAGCGGGGGACCCCTGGAAGCCTGCGGGCAGCAGTAGCTGGGAAGTGAACCAATTTTACACCTGCACTTGGGACATGTGGTCTTGCCCCTGGAAGACTGAGTCCATGGGAGCTGCCTGGTGTGGGGCTGAGGACCTTGCGCAGCCCCCCCACCCCCAACTGCCCTTGGCCTGGGCTTCCTGCAGAGCCTGCCCTCAGCTCCCCCTTCCCGGCATTGTCCCCACCAGGGAGGAAGTCCTCAGCGGGCCTCAGCAGGAAGCCTTCTTCCCACAGAGGGTCCCAGCCCCCTCTCCAAGACAACATCCTGGCCTCCACTCCCCCACCACAACACTGGTGCGATGCAAGGGACTCAGGCCAAGGAGAGTGTCCAGGAGAGGGAGCCCTGGAGACGCCTGTTCCCTTCAGGAACACCCTTGCCCCAGTCCGGGCAAGCTCTCCTCACTGCCACCACCGGTCAGTTGGGGACCTCTAGGATCTTTTTCTGGGGGGTGGGCTGCAGCTGTGAGAGCAGGGCTGGGTCATTTGAGACATCTGTGAGGTCCCTCACCCAGCTCTGGTGCTGGAGGACTCCATACCTGAAATGTCAGCCCAAGTCCTGTCCCATGGGGTCACTCCACGTTTTGGTGGGTCTCGGGTCGGTGGAAGCCTGGGAGGGTGTTTAATAAATAGCTACACAGAAGGCTCTAGAGCAGAAAGGAATGTTTCAGTCCATCAGACCTTCCATCTCCTGTTGGCCTTTGAGCTAAGCTGAGGGGACATGGCAGGAAGGGTGACACCCAGGGCACCAAGCTGGGAGGTCAGGACCCTGAGTGAATAACTGACACAATGCCTGACAACAACATTGTTTGATGAATCTGTTTGCGAAGATGAACCCAAGTTTGGGAAAACAGGTGGTGGCAGGTGGCCATCCTATGGCTGTCCGAGCTGGGGGTCTGCATGTTGCCCAGCTCCTCAGGCCATCTGGGGGCCTGAGATTTAAGTCATCAGGAGTGTTAAGGGGAGTGGAGGCTTTGAGTGGTGACGTCTGGGATCAGACAGGATGGAAGTGCCTGGAAGCTCACCAGGGACTGCAGTTCATCCCCCATTGGGGAGGAGAGCTCAGGGGAGCTACTCTAGAGGAGTTAGACAAGGTGAGGGTGGTGGGGAGCTTTGAAGGTGCCCAGGCCCCTCGGCTGCCCCACGGGGCAGGGAGGCACATCTTGGTGAGAGCAGATTTGAGGGTGCTGGCTCCACCACCCTGAGTCAGGAGGACCTGAGCAAGAGGTGGTGGGGTTGGGGTCCCTAGAAATTCAACCCCTGACCTCAGGCCCTGTGGCTGCTCAGGCCATGCTGTCTTTCATCAGCAGCTCCTTGCTGATGGGGCCTTGGTTGGGGAACTGGGAGCATGGCTCAGGGACCCACCACTGAGCTACTTGTGGGTGTTGGGCCACAGGGCAAGGTGATTGTGTTGGGAGGTGAAAGGAGCTCTGGGAGCAGATACAGAAGAGGAAGGGTGGCCTGAATGTCATCTACTTTCGAGTAGGGGTGGTGATGAATTCAACTGGAAGGATTTGGCATGGGCACCAGAGCTAGCTTTGGGCCATGGTGTGCAATTTCCTGCCCCAGACCAGTTGGCTGCACCCTGGATGATGGATGGACCCCAGCAGAGACCAGCCAGGGAGGTCACACAACAACTTAGGCCAAGGCAGCTCACCAGCCACTCTCAGCTACTGACCACCTGAAATGTAATTTTTTCTAAAAAGTAGGGTTTTATTCATTTTTTAGAGAGAGAGGAGGGGAGAGAGAGAAACATCGATTGCTGTCTCCTGCACACCCTTTACTGGGGATTAAGCCTGCAACCCGGGCATGTTCCCTAAGTGGGAATTGAACTGGGACCTTTCTGTCCATGGGACTACGCTCAATTCACTGAGCCACATCAGCTGGGCTGAAAAGTAATTTTAAATTTACAATTTCAATTTAAAAACAGATACTTAACTCAGTTATTGGAAAACTTCAGTCAGGGAAATACAGTCCTCAGTGGAAACTGAAAGTGCTCTCCATGTAAACAGGAGTTCCAACCCATTCCTGACTAGTCAATTCTCATGTAAATGAGAACTCTAATCTTTAGTTTGGTACAAAAAGAACTGTAATAAAGTAGTTGGAATGAAATGGTCTGATTGGTCTGTAAATATGTAAATGAGGATGTACTGCACAGCTCCAATTGATGGGGAATATCTCAGTCCTATTGGTCAAATTTTGACCCTAGTGGTTCTCTTATAAGAGCAGCTCTGGCCCTGGCCAGTTTGGCTCAGTGGTAGAGTGTCAGCCATCAACCAATGAGTCGCAGGTTCAATTCCAGTCTAGGGCACATGCCTTGGTTGCAGTTCATTCCTGGCCCTGGTCGGGGTAGTGCAGGAGGCAACCAGTCGATGTGTCCTCTCACATCAGTGTTTCTCTCTCTCCCTCCCACTCTATCTGAAGATAAAAAGAAAAATATTCTCAGGTGAGGATTTAAAAAAAAGAGCGACTCTGGCAGGAGGCTGACAGCCCTGTCTGTGGCCTTTTTCTGATATGCAGCTTGGCTGAAAGCCCCTATACACAATGGCTGCTCGACTCTGGTTATGAAATTGGTTCCAATAAACCACAAGGAAGCCCTGGCTGGGTAGCTTGGTTGGTTAGAGCTAAGGTTGTGGGTTTGATCTCTGGTCAGGACACATACGAGAAGCAACCAATAAAAGCATACACAAGTGGAACAACAATTTGATGTTCCTCTCTCTCAAATCAATAAAAACAAAACAAAACAAACAAAACAACATCCCACAAGGAGTCCTTCTTGGCAGGTATATTCTTCTCAGGGTAACATGGGTTAAATAAAGTACATTTTATTTTATATTTTATAAAATTCATTTCATTTATGCCATTCATTTCTTTTTGTATTTTTCAATGTGCTGCTGGAGATTTTAACTGGCCTGTGAGGCTCAAATTCCATTTCTGGTGG